TTTGACTTGTTTCGAAAAATTGTTTAGTATTTATGATGGATCTAATATGCCCACTTTGGTTTTACTTGAACTTCAATGATTTAAAGTGGATCACATGGATCCAGTTTTGAAAAAAATCAACTTGGTCCGATCTGATTTATTCCAACTAGATTTAATCTAAATTGAATCCATGTGGACCGAACCGGATCTGATCAGATCCATAGAACCAAATCCAAATTGCCACCCCTAATTTTGCCCATCTCACTAAGTCCTTGAAAATGTATCAAGGCATTTTCAAAAGGCTGAAAAAAATTAATTGAATGAAACCAGAATTCACCAGTATTTTCTAAACAATTAATCGAATAAAATTCAATATTTGTGTTAAAGAAACAAATAGCTCTATTTTAATTAACTTTAGTAAGGTTATTTTGGACCAATGCCAAAGCAGACAATTAGTTAGCTAATGATTTGAACCTTCATACATAACTTCAAATTACTATATAAAGTGAAATTTAAATACACCCACATTCAAACAATATATATTATATAAACTGAACACAACAACAATATAAGATATGGCAGCTTCATGCCTGCATATATACTACGAAGTTTCGCATGTTTCTCCCAAAAAACTACTCGATAGTATATGATTTAAATACTACATATCAACAACACGTATAATTTAACTACTATATTCAGAAATCACAAAGATTAGTACCCAGTCAACCAATACTTTGACTCGGTTAATCCTCAAGATTGGGTAGCGAATGCTTCGTTCGAACCAAGTTCAGATTCAGTAGGTGGGCAAACCCGTTTCCGCATAAGGGACTCGATTCCTGGATAATTTCTTTTCCGACCACCCCTTGGTCTTGATCGAAATTGCTCATCAGTCTCTTCAAAATCGCCCTGTTAATTAAAATAGCCATTATTCAGATTAGTGACGACGATTACGTTTCCTCCGGAAAGAGATGGAACAAAAAAATCGATCAAAGAACTTACAAGAGTATGTATGTGGCACCCAGATTGTTCATGGTGGTCCCGTACATGTTTGAACGCAAATCTCATTCCACAACCGGGTACGGTGCAAGCAAATGGCTTCAGTTCCAAATGTACGGCTTTGATGTGCTGATTGAGATTTGATGTCTGTATACAAGAAAACATCGAATGAGAAAATGCTCAATTTGGAAAAAAATATTGGTAAATTAAATAATGTTATTGATGATAATTCGAAATATAAGGGAGCTTACATTTGAAAACGTCAGCGAGCATCCCTCAACACTACACTTGATTCTTTCCGAGGAAACACTTTCTTCATGCATGCGCATGTGGCGCTTGATGTTCTTCTTTAGCTGCTTCGAGCCACATTCATCGCATGTAATGTACTGATGACAAGACCGAATGTGCTCCTTCAGACACTGCTCGTTAGTGAAGTATTTCATACATCCTGGTTCTGCACACAGTGCCTCAACCGAATCCAACTTAACTGCATTCAGACCAAATTTAAACAAGACAGTCAGAAAGTGGAACTTCGTACATATCTCGATTAACTACAGTAATACCAAGCCATGAGCAAAACTTACCATGAGAATCCTCGTGCTTACGCAACTTTGATAAATACTTAAACACCTTTCCACAGCCATGTTCTGAACAGACGTATCCCTCCTTATTTTGTGTATCGTCAGCACCATCGGATTCGTCATGGAACTCTTTTATGTGTCGTGTCATATTACTTTGTACTGTGAATCTACTCTTACAGTTTTCGACACGACATTCGAACAACTTTCCTTGATGTTGAAGCATATGTCTGTTTAGATGATCCTTCCTTCTATAACTGGAGTGACAATCGTCAACTGAACATGTGAAAGGCCTCTGTAACATAACACACTAACTATCAGGAATTACGGTACCTAAAACTTCTCTCCAAAGGGTATATACTTGGAGCTCTAATTCAATGTATTAAACAAGAATCCTCAAACCTCGAACGATATATGGCGTGACAGAGGCTCACTTGATGGAGCTTCTCAGGCAGTCACCTGCCTGGTACTGGTCCATTCAAGATAATGTTGATTGCCTCTCGCATTTTGGAGTTCTTTTAATGGGATCCAATGCTTCACACCGCGCAATTAATCAATACAATGTTTTTCCAATTCTCTTCAATCTGCAATATTTCGTATTCTCAATCGGCAATATACCAAAAACAAGTAGCCGAGGCAACATACTTCCCGAATTCAAATAAATAAAAACCTGAACATGCCAAAATTAAAATCATGATCAAGGGGAAAGGAGGAAGGCCAGACCCCCAACAGCATGTGCAATGCTAATTGTATAAAATCGAGATAGTAATTGTTAATCGTTATAAAAATTGTGTATTATCTGCAAGGAGTTCTAGAGATTAAAATACCTTACATCATCAATAACTAAAATCCAGTGCTACTTGCAAAGTTAAGTACTACTAGATTCTTATGCCAAAGAAAGATAACCGAAAAAAAATATACAAGAACAATATAGTGATTCATGACACTACAAACAATCGATACATCATGCGCGTTCAAATCAATATATAGGTTGTTCGACATAACGAAATTCTACGGAGCAAAAACTGTAATAAACATAATTGAATCAGAATATTGACCTCGAGAGAATGCCCTTGCATATGCTGCTTCAGATGAGCTGGCTTCTGAAAACTGGCCCCACACTGCTCACAAGTATTCAATTTCTTCCCTTGCTCTTTTTCTTCATCCCGCTCCTTTTCCTTCGCTTCCTCCTGTAATTTACAAAATCCATCTTATACTGACCAAAAACCAGCAATTAACAGTGCAAAATTACGAGCTTCTGTTACTCCCGATTAAAAAAAATTAAAAAAACACAATTTTCATGAAAAATATATAAAAATTATGAAAGGAGAACACATACCGCGTGGTGTGTGAGGATGTGAGAGGCGATTAAGGTTTTCTTCGATCGGCATATGCCACAGTACTCGCAGTAATATCTTCTAATATCTCTGAATATCGGAATTCGCTGCCCCTCTCCTTCCTTCTCCATCGAGCTATAATAAGTGTATGTATATGTGTATCTATATGTATAGAGATGCAGAGATCTGGAGACAAGAAGCAGCAGCTCTCGCGGCACGAAGCAGCTCAAGATTTAGGGTTACCTATTTGTAGAGTAATAATGATAATGGATTTTTGCCCAAGTATAAATCTTTATCTTCTATTAAAAGAAATTGGGCTTTGGCTAAGGCTGGACTAAAAGGATGTTAAAATGGGCCTGAAGCCAAGGCCCATGTATAAATCTTTACTTTTGTATAAAATAAAAAAGGGTAAATTACAACTGTCTCTGGGTATGGTCAAATTACGAAAAAAACTCCTCATATTTGAGTAATTACAATCACCCATCAACTATAAATCCTTTTGCGCGTTCATCCTTGCGGTTTCAAATTTAGCGGAATCGTCTAGATTATATGAAATATTCTCAATTTTGTACTCGTTTTATCTCATTCGAGCTCCACATTTTGAATAAGATGATCATAAGATATGTTTTTTGGCTTGTATATATATATATATATCAGATTTTGGTGCATCAAAAACTGTATTTTTGAACAAAACGAGTACAAACTAGAGAACATTCAACGAAATCTAGATGGTTATGTTGAATTTGACTCCATAAGGGTGGAGGTGTTAGAAGATTCATAATTATAGGGGTAGATGTAATTATCCATGCATTAGGGGGTTTTCGTAACTTGACCGTACCTCGTGGTTGTGATTTATCCAAATAAAAACGAAAGTGAAAAAATACTAGCAACTAGTATTTCGCTCGTGCGTGCAGGGGAATATTCATTATAAAAATAAATATTTGATTAGATAAACAATCATCGTGGTAGTAAAAACAAAAGTTGATATGCTGCTAGAAAAATATGAAAAAGAAAACGATTTTATTAATTAATTAAGTCAAAATAGGTGAAAATATATAAATATCAACGAATGAAATTTCGGATAGGGATAGTACACCCTTCGTCCCGACCTATACAACCATAATACCCGATTAATTCAAAGTCCTCATTTGATCCAAATCGATTGTTAAAGTTGTGTTTGATAACAATTGCCTTCACTGCATGTCGAATTCAATAGCTCAAGATAAATTAATTGAATGAATTTTTTTGACTGAAGAGTAATGAGGTGGCAGTTAATCTTAACTAAGTCTCCATGCACATGGTACACCGGTTTTGAAAGAGCGATGATGATGTTATCCGAGACATTACAAGGAGCCGACTTGTGTAATCTCTTGTATATAATATATGGCCTTGAAACGATGCATTATAGAAGAGAATCAATTGCAATCAGATCTAGAGAGAGATACAATGTGAGAGAAAATAATTCTAAAATTTTTCTAGTGTGTGTCATTGGTGAAGTGTGTGCGCAATTGTTTTGATTGCTGAGAGTTGATGTACTCCGTAACACTCGTGATCAATCTATTAGTTCTTGGATCGTTCGGCGGATCTAGGCTATCATTGAGTCGAACTACGATAAATTGAGCGTTCAATTGTGCGTGATTCACTTTGTATGAGATTATTGGACTAATTGAGATAATTTTGATGAATTACTTTAACGGTGTTATGTTCTAAGTGGGCAAAAGAGGCATTCGTTCCGTTGCCTTTTGCGTCAACTGTGTTAGAGAGAGTGAGATCCGTTATCTTCACCGACGACATCGTTTTGACTTGGGAAACAAAAACCCTGGCGGGAACTAAAATATTACTATCTGTGAAAAAAAATATAAACCCTACTCTCTCTCTCTCACACACACAAACACACACTCTCGCAACTATGCCGTCGTTCCCTCAGCCGGGCACCGTCACCATTTGCGAAATCAACCGCGAATTCGGTACGAATCACTCCACCTCGTGCTCCCAATTTTTCAATCCGTATTGAATTTCACGGTGTCGACCCTCGAATTGTTTTCTAATTTTTGTTTAATTTATTCACGCAGTGACGTCAGATCACCTCAGCGATGATCAGGCCAAGGAGACATACGCTAAAATTCTCGTACTTTGTTTCATTCGATATATTTTGTGTTGTTCAATTCAATATATTTGAGGAGTTTTTGTTTTTGTTTTTGTTTTTTGTTCGTTTGATAGGTTATTAATTGTACAACCCACTGATTCTAATTGCAGGGAACTGTTTTTAGTCCCATCCCGTTCGAACCAGACAACCTATTAGGCACGGTAACCGAACAGGAAGAGAATTCACGAAAGAAAGGCGTCTTATCAGCGGCATTGCAGGCTGTGCTGAGTGGCTCTCTCAGACCCCTTTTCCAGCCTGCTGACGTAATTGTTCTCTTTGACATCACTTTTATTTTACATATATGTGCTTAATTAGGATGGTTTAGCATATCCAAGCATAAGAGTTGTTAGAGTTTGTAGTTGTTGGGAATTGCGTTCTTTTTTATGGCAAGGGTTAATAACTTGAATTGCAGAATGAATGCATCAAAATGAAGTAGATTTGTTCTGCAAATGTGTGATATGAATGCAGTAAACTAATGTTGAGAAATCGGTTTGATTTATAGTAACATACTTTTGAGGAAAAAAAAGTATGTGTAATATGGAGAAATGTTTTCCGCTATTAGTATACATTTGGAATGGATCTAGTTTTTGATATTTAGTCGAGACATATGTGTTGGTTGTATTTAAGCAAATTTAGAACTAGGTGACGAAAACTAATGATTTGTCTGTTTTATCGACATTTTTGGTATTTGAAATTAACGTAACTTGAACATGCACATATGCACATTTGTCAGAAAGAAGCCGATTATTTGAAAGTAAAGGGACACGGACTAGATGTAATAGATTCTTTAAATGTGCTCTGAGTATTGAGTTTTTTAAATGTTCAAATATTTTTTCAGGTAAAATTATTACAGGATGTCGATCTTCATAGTGTAAGTTGGCACCAGCACAAACACATTCTAGCCTTCATCTCTGGACCCCATCATGTGACAATCTCTGACTACAGTGATTCTGGTAGCCGACGCACCTTTCTTGACTGCCCTTATGATACTTCAAGCTTGAAGCTCCTTAAGGGGTTCCTTCTTTATTTTCTAAATGTATTTAATGCTCTGGCAAATGCTTTTCTGTTTCTGTGTCAATCAGATGGAAAGCCTCCTTGTGTCTTGTCCCACGAGTCCCAGAAAGATGTAAAAGTTCTTGAGTGGAGACCAAATGGAGGGAAAACCCTTTCTGTGGCATGCAGGTCAGTCCCACCTTATCAACCTCTTCTTCATTTCCAACAGAGTTACTTATATTTTGAACTTACTCGTCGTCTAGTTACCACCTTGTAACTTGCTGATGATATAATATTTGGTGATAGGGGCGGCATTTGCATCTGGGCTGCTTCATATCCTGGTAATGTTCCATCTGTGAGATCAGGGATCACTTCAAGCACACTTTCAAGAGGCTTGAGTAAATGGACTCTGGTGGATTTCCTTCAAAGTCTCGATTCTGAACAAATCAGTGCACTTTCATGGAGTCCTGATGGAAGATATCCAAATCAACTATTAGTTATCTGTTAGGCATGAAATAGCCTTATGCTATTTTCATCTAAAATTTTTGTAGCTATTTACATTCAGCAGTCTATTATCCACTGAATTTCTATTAATACAGCTCAGCTATCCTGGATAGTACATGTTGAATTGAATTATTCCTTTACTCTTTTTCACATATTTAGCATCAGCTTCATTTGAGAGTTCATCTTTCACCATTTGGGATGTTTCACAAGGTACACAACTTTCTCCTTGCACATCTTCTATTAATTGCTCTACTGGATATTTCATGTCAAATAGGCATACCACGATCTTCTTCGCTCTGAGTTAGCTATTAATGGCTTGTAGTTGTTTTAAGAACGAATATTGTAAACAGTAAGCTACGACCTTTAAATTTGCTCTGTCACTTTTTTGTCTTTTGCTATAGCTTCCACTTTGGCTATGCCACCTAATACTTTTAATTACAGGGCTAGGCACCCCTATACGAAGGGGTTTAGGAGGCATATCGCTGTTGAAGTGGTCTCCCACAGGAAATTATTTCTTTGCTGCAAAATTGTAATGTTGATTACCAGATACTTCAAGGTTCATATGCATGTTGGTAGCCTAAAAAAATGCAACAATGTTATTGATGAGGAACTTTTTTTTGACGCAGTGATGGAACATTTTATCTGTGGGAGACGAACACTTGGACATCAGAAACATGGTCCTCGAAAAATGAATTTGTCACGGTTAGTGGTTAATCTGCTATTTGTATTTTTTGGATGAGTGGCCTCTAGGCCATTTTTATAGTTATAATGTATTGTGTTTGGTTATCATTTTTGCGTGGCTTCTTGTAAGGATTTTTATTTCTTCATTGGAGAGTCATAATAGTCAAGTGGATGATGAAACACAAGATTGTTAGTAGACATGATTAAAATAAAATGGTAGTTATTGCCATAGGCACTTGTTGTAGACAATGTTCGGTGTACTTCCCTCTTTCTGGAAATGTGACTTTAGCTATGTACTCTTTCTTCTTGTTTATAGTTGTGGATACGTTTATATTTACTGCTCGAAACTGCTTTTGGAGATGTAAAGGTCTAATTATTTCTCTAAATGTTGATGATAGGGAGCAACATGGGATCCCGATGGCCGTATGATACTTCTTTCTTTTTCCGAATCTTCAGCATTAGGTTCTATTCACTTTGCGTCAAAACCTCCATCACTAGGTATCTAATTTTAAGGTTTTTCATGAATTTTATTTCGTCAATATCTATTGTGATTGTGATATGATTTGAAATTGTCTTGTTACTTGATGGGATATGGGGGCCAAAGATATGAGTTGACTAGGTAGTAGGTTGAAATAAGTAGATAATGCACAGTTGCAGAATTAAAGCGTATAAGTTACTGTATCTATGAATTTCATTGACGCAGTTAGAGACTTAAAAGGTAGTTTCCGAATGCTTCAAGTGAAGACTTTGCTTTTCATTAAATCTTCAATAAACATTTTGAAGAGACAAGGCAGATGAACCGCTTTTCCAACTTTCAAGAAAAAAGCCTTCAGACCTAACCTATCTTACAACAGAAATGTTCTATTGTTTCTTTGTTGCCTTGGTGTATGTAGTTCAATGCATTTTGACATGTTTTGATATGATCTATTTTGTAAATAAGTATCCGTTTGACATTATGTTCGACATTTTTCCTACTCATTTTGTCTTTTTATTTTTTTGTGACGATTTTCTCCAGATGCACACCTTATACCAGTAGAGTTGCCAGAGATTAAATCATTGACTGACAGGTAGAGAAATTCTTTAACAAATTTTTTTTTGGCCCAACAGTAAATTACTACAAAGAATTAACGCTTATTAATTTCCGGTTGTCTGGAACTAGTGAACTTCCTCTATCTTATTGAGTTGTTCTAATGCGATATAATTGCATTTTATTTCTTTCATGTAGTATCAGGATCCCTTATTTACAGTAGTCACTTCAAATATAGCATTATACTTCTTTAAAGTCCTACACAGAAAGCTTCTTTAACGAACCACAGTCCACAGCCGTTGGATTAGTTCCCTGTTCTTTAGTCATTCTTTCTTTTGTTTTTCGTTAGTCTCTTCTTAAATTTGCAAATTCAAGCTTTAGCATGTTACAGACGTGTTTTTCATCCGTGGTTATGCACACCTTCCATTTTTAGATCAGTCTTCTTATAGGTCGCGCTCATGACTCTGAGAATATCGGCACGTGCTAGCATTTATTTCCCTCTATCCCTGTGGTATACATTTCCCATTAAAAATATTCCGTGGCAATAAAATATTTATTCTTCGAATTTTCAGCCCTTGGACATGTGCTCGAAACTTCTTGATGGTTGGCGTTACTAATTTTATTGTCATTCTACAGCCAAGTTATCGAGAAGATAGCATGGGATGCTTCAGGAGAGAGATTGGCAGTATCATATAAAGATGGAGATGAATTATACAAAGGGCTCGTAGCCATATTTGATGTTAAAAGAACTCCTTTAGTCTCAACATCTTTGATGTAAGTGCAAATCTGTAGCTTGATTATCACTTGTATAATTTTTTTTCATCAGTATATTTTTACATGCACTTTCTTCATCAGACTCGTATACAAGTGAATAAGGCATACTCAAGCATGTAAAACTGTCGGCTAATAAACACTGTTTCCGATTTTATTGATGCTCGTGTTTCATAATTATATATTGAGCTCATTGTAACGTGTATATTTGTAATTAAAGTGGATTCATCCGAGGTCCTGGAGACAACCCGAAGCCAGTAGCATTTTCATTCCATGACAAGTTCAAGCAAGGACCATTGCTTTCTGTGGTTAGTCCCTTTTGCCCCTTTCTTTTGCCTTTTTTCCCTTATTCCGTCTCTTCTAATACTAATCAGCTTGACTCGGCTAATAATACTATTCCAGTAATATTGCTCATGCATCTTATTTCCACCATCACTCAGCCTCTAGACTAACTAAAAAATCGTGTGCAGTGTTGGAGCAGTGGATTTTGCTGCACCTACCCTCTTATATTTCGATGAAATATTCTACCGTAGTTGAGGTACTGTTCTAATCAAAATTATTGATATCCATCTATACATTCTTTGCTACTGCTCTCTTAAAAATGATGTCGTCTCACAAAATATATGATTTACGAATATGGATATTTTTGAACTGATATTAACCTGTTGATCAGTTTATTTTGGTTTATCATAATTATATCTAGGGATCAATTAAAGAAACTCAAAATGCAGATGAGCAGAGTAATGTGACAATTCCTACAGTGTGAGTATCGATTATCAATTCTTGAAGTTGACGATTCTAATAATAATTCTGCTGATTTATTTTCTTCCTCTTACCGTTGCTGAAATTTGTTTCCAGTTTCAGGTTATGCGGAGATTTATGTTATGAAAATTGATTGTATATTGATAAGTATTCTCTTTTTGCTGATGCGTTGAATCAACTGATTTTCCGGCTTCTTTTTGGAGTTACCAGAAACCCTGCCAAGCGTATTCGTTTTATGGTAAAAGAAAATGAATTCAAAATTTCGTAAAAAGCACTGGTAAATTGAATGTAATACTTTGTTCGCGGTTTTCATAGCATTAGCATTCGCCTTTGCGATTACTTTATATTTATATGAAACTGCTAATCATTTATTTTATGTTACCTATCAGGCTGAATTCGTTGAAATTGCGTGTTATATATCGGGTGTATATAAGAAATCAGTAAATGATTGAAAACTATATAAAGATCAGAAAATTGAGAATTATTTCGAAAATATTACGAAAAATAAAAGCATATAATTATTCATATAATAAATTAGATTGAGGTATGGAGATCTTCAGATGCTACAGCCTCTATAAAGTTTGATTTTCTCAGCAAGTCAATACAAGTTAAAGAATGTGGAGCTAGTATAACATTCATTTTGTTGCTTACTTTTCCTAGTGGACTTGTGATTGGAGCCACCTGCATAAACAAAATAAGTATTATCATATATATATATATATATATATATATATATATATATATATATATATAGTACAGATAAATTGGATAGAATGGAAAATACCTTCTTTGGTTGATTGAAAGAATTTTCATCCATCACATTTTGAGATGTGAGTGAAGTTATTGTGGAACCTGCTGCTTCGATAGAACTCTGGTCCATTCCGTTAATCGAGACATTAAGAATTACTCCGCTGCTTCCAAAATTCACAACCTGGAAAATATATACTCGTAACGTTTAGAATGAGCCAACGGATGTATATATATGTTAAATGTTGGACGGTACTTGAACCTTTATCCTCAAATAGCTTCTGTTATCTTCCGGATTGTTCCAAGAAATAACGGATGCGAGAAGAGAAGTTAAAGAACTTGGTTGCAGTTTGGAATTCAGAAGAGTCGCTCCGTTTGAGTCTTTGAAGAAATGCTGCATCCAGTATGTAGGAGTACCATACACTTTCGAAGAATCGAAAACTATTGCATCTGGCGTGAACCTAAAATGAAAAAAAAAAGAAGAAAAAAAAACGACCTTGTTTTAAGAAAAAAAAACTCGATATAGAGATGAATGTTGAGGGGATAAAGGATCGGATAAAGATACCTCATGTCGTTCGCATTCACAAACAAAGGAGCATTACTCGCCATTTCAACAACATCACTGCAAGAATAAAAAACAGTTGCATTTGTATGATTGTATTTTGTGGTGAGATTAACCGAAACGCAACTATAAATACCTATTCGTCTCTAGTCCGAGAAGGAGGCCAGCTTCGGCAAGCGCTTTCAAAAGACTTCCTCTGCCAGCATCGTTTCCAGTCACGGCATATTCACTCACAAAAGCCTGAAATATTATCGAATAAGCAGCGTCAAAAAAAAATAAAAAAATCATCGGAAATAATCAAGAGACGCTCGGAAAAAAAAACCTTCGGTCCACTTCTTGATGTGTGGTCGAAGTTGTGAGCCATCGAAAACATAGAATTCGCGTTCGTATAAACCTTATATCAAAGAAACATGACATTAAAGACATTAAATAAGATAACATTAATGCGATAGATTTTTTGCTTTTTGAGAAATTCTTACGTGGAAATCGTACAAATCCGCTGGATCATCCAACCGTTGAACAGAACCATCACAGTTTGATATAATCTTGATATCCGGATATGCCCCTTTTATAGCATCGTAAAACTTCATATAGTTCCCTAAAATATACGTATAACAATATAAGCGATTTGAAGGCTATATACATAGATTCATGATGTACACGATGAAAGAAGATATATATTCTACATATATATACCGTGATAATTCTTGTTTCCACAGTCTTGATTTCCAATAGCAACGTATCGTAAATCGAACGGTTCCGAATGGCCCATGGAAGCTCGAACGGAACCCCATTTAGAAGTGGGGTCTCCCTTTGCAAACTCAAGTGCATCAAGAATATCCTACAGAATATTCCAAAAAAAAATTAAACTCTCTAACGAGTAGTGATTACGGATATGATACGAAAAAAGAACTTCGAAAAGACATACTCGAACGAAAGGTAAAATGATCGAAGTATCAACTTGTTCACTTCGACTGACTCCTACACAGTCGAGAGTAGAATAACCGTTAGTGAAATAATTTATCAACTAGTGGCTTAAATGTAATTGTTAATACCGTTATTGAAAACCCAAACTGGCAATGCACCTAAATCTTCCGCGAGCTGCATAAAAATAAACAATTAACGGTTTACATGTGAAACGGCGAACAATAACATGGAATTTTTTTTTTTTTTTTTTTTATTTTAAATATTACTTGGAGATATTCGAAATAACCAAGTCCATCGTCGGTCCAATATTGCCAAACATCTCCGAAATGGCCAGGTCTTTCTTCCCATGGTCCGATACTCTCTCTCCATCGAAACGCATTCACTAGCCATTCTCCTTCGACAAACGAACCGCCTTTTTACGAAGAAAATCAAACATGTGCTTCGTTAAAATTCCTCGTTTTTTTTATACGAAGTTGGATCGATTACTCATAGAAGGGTACCTGGAAATCGGATAAATCCCGGCTTCAAATCAGCAAGCATGTTAAAAAGATCGTTTCGAAATCCATGCCCCTGCAGCCACATGTTAAAGATTGCATTTTTCTTGAATTAAACCGAGGAAAAAATCGAAATAAGGGGTTAAACGAGACGTATGTACGGATACATTTACATTACCTTGTGTGTGCTTAAAGGCATAGCCGAGACTTGATCGAGCCATACAGTACACTTTTTCGTCGTCGTCAATTGCAATCTTGAATTAGCATCCGTTCCCTTTGCTTCCAACGTAATCTCCTTTTTCGTCCACTCTCTTACATTACCATCTCTGCATAATCAATTCTTCAACTATTAAGATATATATTAATAAGTTTCCATAAAATCGAACACGGCAACTACTCTAAGCCGTATATCTCACGTTATATCAGCTGTGGCTAGCGTACGCAATCCGTTCGAATCAACGAAAGATACAGACATTTCCATTGGTTGCAAAGAACGAACGTAAAAGGTAACTTTATACGTCTTTCCTTGCTCAATATTCTGCGATAAAATAAAGAAATTCAGACATTAATTAATTCGAGACGAAAAGGAAATTAAAAAAAAAATATATAAAAAAATTATTACCATGCCCCAGAATCCAGGGTTGTAAACTCCAACTCCTCCAGCCGGACAAATATTTCGACCATTTCCGTCACACAAAACCTCCATTCGAAGTGCGATTTTATTTCTATCGAAGCACGATGAACGGTCGGTTGATACAAGTATCGATGACTTATCGCCTATAATGGACCAAGGACTAATATTCGATGGAATATTCTGACCCCCGGCTTCGAAACCTGGAAATATGTAAATTTCGAGAGTCACAATTTTTTTTTTTTTTTTGCAAATTTATTCGTCGGTTTCAAAAGCTACGGAAATTTGTGCGGACCTCTGTTGCTAACAAGCTCTGCCCATAATCCACCAGCACCCGAGTGATTGATCTCCTTCATAACATATTACACAATTACGACTCGAACATATCATTTATCGACTGTCCAAAAGATTGATTTACGTGCGTTTTCAATTAGTTCATTAGCAACATATCAAATGTAATTTTGCAGCATATTACACAGACGAGACAGCATAACGAGTAGACAAATGACAACACTGACCTCAAACGACAAACCAAACATTGTGTGCGGTATTTTTCGAACACGACTGTCTGACACGTTTACGGACAACCATGCTGTTTGACTTGCATTGACCACACTTGCATAACAATTATAGAAAGTGCAGAATGTAACGAGAGAGAAAAGCAGCACTTTTTTACGAGCAGCGTAATGCGAGTCCATTTTTTTTTTTTTGCTAGATTATGCGCCTCGTACGCCAATTTAAACCCGAACGAGGCTATGTTGTGATCGTAATCAAAACAAGAAAAGCTGTGATGGCTGAAGAATCTATTTTTAGATATATATTCTGTTAGCTTCAACAGAAAAAAGTAAGTGCATTGGATCAGCAAAATAGACAACATTTAAGGTAAGAAGTCAGCATCCAAACTGATTTAGCTTTGAAGCAGCAGAGTTTTGGAAAATCATCCCTTGAAAGTTTCTTTCTTGACCCTACTTATCCTTTTTCCACAATGCTATTATTAGCCTTATTTATTTCAATACTGAAAAACTAATTCCAATTTAATTTGCAAAATTGTGAAAATCGAAAATTCGATATATAATATATCAATTAAAAAAGGGTAAATTACGAAAAAACCACTCATGTTTGGGTAATTACAATCAGTCCCCTCAACTATGAATTTTCTTACACATCCACCCTTGCGATGTCAAAATTAGTGGAATCTTCTAGATTACGTGGAATATTCTTCGGCTTGTACCCATTTTACCCCATTCGATATATAATTTATCAATTAAAAAAAATGGTAAATTACGGCCACCCCTGAGGTTAAGGTCAGATTACGAAAAAAACCCTACTGTTTGGATAATTATAATCACTCCCGTCAACTATGAATCTTCTTACATCTCCACCATTGTGGTGTCAAATTTAGTGGAATCTTCTAGATTATGAAGAATATTCTCCCGTTTTATCCCATTCGAGCTTCACATTTTGAAACAAGATGATCATAAAATGTGAATCTTGGCTAGTAAATATCAGATTGTGATGCATCAGAAGCTGCATTGCATTTTTACACAAAACGAATACAAACTACAGAACATCCCACGGAATCTAGAAGATTCTGTTGAATTCGACACAATAAAAGTGTGGACGCGTAAGAAAATTTATAACGGAGTGCTAATTGAAATTACCCAAGAGGGTATTTTCGTAATTTTACAACAATAATTTACCCTAATAAATTTCAATGAAAAAGAGGCATGAATGTACTATTTGGGAATTGTTTAATGCATTAGAGTGTTGGAGGAGGAGTCATCGACAGAGCACTATTTAGAAACAGTAGTCTGAGTACAAACCCTCGAAAAATACGCAGAAAAACGCTTTTATTATCACTCTCTCTCTCTCTGCACAAGGAAAGAAAAATAAAATTCACAGTTACAAAATCTATTCGAATCGCTCTCTCTCTCTCTCTCCGTTTCAAGATCTAATTTTTCTGCAAGCATCTGATCTGGGTTGTTGTGGAAAGGTATAAAGTTAATTTCTTTTTTTTTCTCCATTTCGTAAAGTTCTTTCTTCTCTCGCTATTCGCACTTCGTAGATGTGAAAGTGAAAATAATAAACGAATTAAATTGATAAATCTTCGTTGGTTATCTCTGGGCAACGCAATTTTTGTGTTTTTGAGCTTCGTTTGTGACTAATTTTGGTAATTGGGGTTTTTAGGAATTCAGAAAATCTAGGTTTTTACTGTTCATGTTTCTACAGATTTGATTTTTCGCTCGTCTTTCTTCTATCTAAATACCTAACTAAATACCTCTGCATGTTGCAGGAAGCTTTTGCTTTGAGCTATGACTCGTTTGTAATCTTCGCTGTTTGATTTGTTGCTGTTAGAAAAACACTTCCTCTGCATAATCTCTGTGTTGTTAATTTAATGGAGCAAGGTTTGGGTTCTGATTCAAATCACCATGGGCCAATTGACAAATCTAGGGTTTTAGATGTGAAGCCATTAAGATGCCTTGTCCCAGTTTTCCCCAATTCATCACAGGGCATGTCTTCAATTTCAACTCCTCAGCCCTCTCCATTTGTCTGTGTACCTCCCTCCGGCCCATTTCCCTCTGGGGTCCAACCATTTTACCCGTTTTTATCTCCAAACGATTCTCAAAACGGTGCTCAACAAAACCAACCCGCTAATTTCGGTTTCGGTGGCAGTATCCCAGCTCCAGTTCCACTGAATTCATTCCGAACCCCAACTTCTCACGCAAATGGGGTAACGGGTCGACCCAAGCGGGTCCCAAAAACCCGCGCATTCGGATCTGGATCTGCCGCCGGAGACGATGACGTGTACAGCGACTCGCAGAATCAGAGCGACCAATACACGAGCGCTGACATGGCGGACACCACTAATTCCGGGAAGCAAAGGGGCAGGCCAAAGAGGGGCCGATCTGGTGGGCCGGGCGAAGACTTTGATGTCGAATTGCTTGTCAACGGCTTCTTGACTTTGTTCAAGCTCAAGGAATTCGATGACTTCAGAAGAACAAATGGGGACAAGGATACAGTTGGCACGATACTATTGGTCTTCGATATGCTCCGTAGAAGGCTGACTCAGCTCGAAGAATCGAAGGGCGTGACGGCCGGAATCGCCAGACGCCCGGACTTGAAAACTTGCAATCTTCTCATGACAAAAGGTGTTCGAACAAATAACACAAAGAGGTTCGGCCATGTGCCTGGAATTGAAGTCGGCGATATATTCTTCTTCCGGATGGAGTTATGCCTTGTGGGATTACATGCACCTAGCATGGCTGGAATAGACTATATGAGTGTAAAGGTAACCATGGATGAAGAGCCATTAGCTGTAAGCATCGTTTCTTCAGGTGGATATGATGATGATGGGAATGACAGTGATGTCATAATCTACAGCGGTCAAGGTGGGGTCCAGAGAAGAGATGGGCAAATGTTCGATCAGAAGCTGGAAAGGGGAAATCTTGCCCTCGAAAAGAGTCTCCATCGAGCCAATGATGTGAGAGTGGTGAGGGGTATAAAGGACATTGTTGGAAATGGGAAGATTTACGTTTACGACGGTGTGTACAAAATTCAAGAATCTTGGGCGGAGAAGAATAAATCGGGCTGCAATGTTTTTAAGTATAAGTTGGTTAGGGTACCTGGTCAAGCAGAGGCCTTTTCGATTTGGAAATCGATTCAACAATGGAAAGACGGAACTGCCACTAGGCCTGGGGTTATAATTCCCGATTTAACCTCCGGTGTAGAGAGCCTGCCTGTCGCCCTCGTAAATGACGTGGATGGCGAAAAGGGGCCCGCTCATTTCACCTATGTTTCTGCTCTCAGATACTCACAGCCCTTTTCGAATAATAACAAACCCTTTTCTGGTTGTCACTGCTTGGGTGGGTGCCAGCCTGGCGATACAAACTGCCTGTGCAGTCACAGAAATGACGGTGTGCTCTCTTATTCGTCCGTAGGGTTGCTTTACACTAGCAAGAATTTGGTGCACGAGTGTGGGCCCACTTGCTCTTGCCCTCCGAATTGTAGAAACCGTTTGTCTCAATCGGGTGTGAAAATCCGTCTAGAGGTTTTCAAGACCAAGAACAGGGGGTGGGGGCTTAGGTCGTGGGACCCGATTCGTGCGGGGGGTTTCATCTGTGAGTTTGCTGGAGATGTTGTTAAAGTGACCGATGGTGACTTTGTGAATGCGAATGACGATGATTATATATTCGATGCTACAAGGTATTACGAGCCGTTGGAGCTCGTTCGCGATTCTAACAAATCCAAGAAAGCTCCTTTTCCACTAGTTGTGAGTGGGAAGAACAACGGGAATGTGGCTCGATTTATGAACCACAGTTGTTCGCCGAATGTGTATTGGCTGCCGGTTCTGCGCGAGAGCAATAATGATGTGTTCATGCATATTGCCTTCTTCGCTATTAGACATGTTCCCCCCATGCAAGAGCTGACGTATGATTATGGGATAGTTATGCCTGAAAATGGTGGAGACGGAGGAAAGAAGAAGTGCTTATGTGGAAGTGACAAGTGCAGAGGGTACTACTATTGATGATGTGGCGGTTATTGCAATGGATGGGATATTTTGGTGCTCGGTTACTTTGGAGAAAGGTTAGTCATTATCGGTTTTTTTTTTATGTCTGTTCTGATTTTTATTCCAGTGGATGGGATATTTTGCTTGGTTATTGTTTCTCAGTCTTTGAAAATTTACTTTCTTGTTTCGATAAATCCTATTTCTGTTCCTCCCAATTTTGTAGCGTAGTTTTTTTCCAGCTCCTCGAGATTATATACACTAGTAATTAGTGTATACGGAATTATATGTTTGTTCAATCTTTAGTATGGATTATGATGTGATGTTTTGATGAATAAAACATAAATGCCTCGATAAATCTCTAGTCTGATTAAATGTTTTGTTGCTAATTATGCAGGTACGATGTAAGCTGTCATTTGGTATTATGTAGAAGTCGAAGATATGCAGTGTTTTCGACGTAGTAGGTTATGGAATCGGCGATTAGTAGTTTGTGATTTGTGTAGTTTGTAATATTGTACCATAATGTTAGAATTGTGTTTTGAACTTCTATGTGGGGGGGCCAAAACTTCTGGAAACTTCCTTTTGTGTTTGGCTGCCCCCCCGCCCCTCTTGTTGTTTTTAGTAGGTCTTAACTTCTCAGGATGGTTGGAAATTTGGAGGAGACCTGTGCTTTTGTAGACTAATAATCATTTGTGATGTTAATGAAATATTTAGCCTTGTTCCTAATTAACCAAGATTCAATCTTTGGTTTGTCTGAATATCCGTTGACAAGATGCAATCTTCGACAATGGTGGAAATTGGAACGAAATCTCTATTTTTGGAATCTTGATTTTGAATTTTTTTTCACTGCCATTTCCAAAATTTTGGTTTTTGATTTTTTTCGATTTTTTCGAAATGTTAAGATTTCAGTTATATGTTGCTGATTTTGGTATAAAGGACTCAGAAATCTGTTCAAACTTGTATGAGTTTTTATTTGAGTTTTTAAAGTTTTGTATCTCGGTTTGAAAAACAATCGAGCTTTAATCGAGCAGAACAAAAATCGGAGCTTGAGCAGCCTTATTTCTTTACATATTTTATTATTTTCTTTGTAATTGAGCTAGAAGTCGGCATGTTTTTAACTAACAATGTCAAATCGAGTATCGAGTAATTTAGTCTGAACAATTTCCACCACAGCTGATTAATACTGATTCCTCAAATAAAATTGATATTTCATAAACCTTTGTTTTAATTTCCTTAAAATTAATTACCGTGTCGTATTCGTGTCGCAGACATGCAAGTTCTTCAGTCATGTAAACCCCGAAACGTCCGCTCGAATTCGGAGAATCCTCAAAACTAAACCGTTGCAACTTCCTAATAATAGGTTGGTCTGTAAGAAATCAAGAGAGAGGAGAGAGAAACAAGAGAGAGAGAGAGAGAGAGAGAGAGAGAGAGAAGAGAAGAGAATGTCAAAAACATTATTATTGGAGAAATCTGTGTTCAGAGGGGATCTAGAGAAAGCATTGTAATAAATCTTTCTCTCCATTTTCTCTCCTCACAAAATCTTGATCTCTCTCTCTCTCTCTCTCTCTCTCTCTCTCTCTCTCTCTCTCTCTCTCTCTCTCTCTCTCTCTCTCTCTCTCTCTCTCTCTCTCTCTCTCTCTCTCTCTCTCTCTCTCTCTCTCTCTCTCTCTCTCTCTCTCTCTCTCTCTCTCTCTCTCTCTCCTCTCTCTTTCACCTATTCTGTGTATTAATATTTTTTTTTTTGCATTATAGTAATAGCAGAATAAAGGGTAACAAGAACACAAGAATTAGCCCAGAAATTAAATTTAAAAAAAAAAAAAAAAAAAAAGAGGGAGAATTAAATTATAGAAAATAGTTAGGTCTTTTATATGGGTGGTATAAAAGATCAAGATTTTGTTGCACCACCCTCAACATGCATGGATTCTTCATTCCCCAACAACAACAAGAGGCTTTACCAAATTTGGAAGGGTCGCAATGTAATTACACCTCTTCCTCTTTCTTTCTTTATTTATTTTCTTTTAATTTTAATAAATTTGGGTTCTTTTAACATTTAATTGTTGCCATTATCTGCATTGTGATTCTTGATTAGGGATTTTGAATTTCGGATTTTTTTTTTTTTTGGTTGAGTTTTGGATTTTGGGACCTCGAATCGCCCGATTCCGATATAGTTATGCGAGAAGGATTAACAGTTACTAACTGCATAGTTGAACTCAAGATTGTTTATAACATTCGTCATTTTCGAATCTGTAGTAGTTCGGTTCTCGAACTAGATTACTCGTCGTTTATCTTCTCTTACCAAATTAGGATATATATACACCAATATCCTTTTAGAATGTCAATAAAACTATCAGTACAAGTCGAGATTTCGATTTTTCTCGACTATCACTACTTACCTTTCCCAATTCCTATTGCTCGTAGTAAGGTTTTCGTTACCGATTTCTTACCGATTTCGTTACCGGTTTTCAGAAATTTTTATGTGGCGGGAGATTAATCTTCGGTCCCGATGCATCATCGCTCGTTTTATCAACCTTCCTAATAGGAGGTCCTGCATTGACTTTCTGTATCAAGACGTTTTCTAGGCTCTCGAATGTCGACTTCTTATACAGTCAAACTGTCCTAATCGTCGGACTTGTCCTAACACTTTTGGTAGGTCAAAAATCGATACATTTTTTTTTTCCGATCAAGAATATAGTAACAGCTAATTCTACAAACTTACACCATTGCAACTTTTTTTTTTTTTTTTTTTGGTGCAGGATTTGATTTTTCTCTTCATGACATCTTCAAGAAATCCCGGAATAGTCCCTAGAAATAATCGGCCGCCAGAATCCGACAGCGCGTCGAATTCCACGTCATCAATGGAGTGGATCAACGGTGCAACCCCCGACTTGAAATTACCGAGGACAAAGGACGTTTTCGTAAATGGCTACACAATTAAAGTCAAATATTGCGACACTTGTTTGTTGTACCGGCCCCCACGCGCATCTCATTGCTCGATATGCAATAATTGTGTCCAAAGATTTGATCACCATTGCCCTTGGGTGGGCCAGTGCATCGGAGTCGTAAGTATATGTTATGATCAATATATCTATTCTTCTTAAGGCCTCGTTTGGTTCGTACGATTAAATAATCGAATGAAAACAGAATTGTAGCATTGGACCTTATGATACAATAATATTTTCGGGTCGACCCAAAAAATTATTAGGTTTGCCGAACATCAAACATAGTCCAATTATTTAATTAATCATGACTAACATCCCAAACCAAACGAGGCCTTAGAGATTCTCATGCAATTTATAGTGATATCTTATTCGATCGTTATTGCTCTTGATTAATGCAGAGGAATTATCGGACTTTCATCCTATTTGTAACAACATCGACAATCTTGTGCATGTACGTGTTTACGTTTTCACTATTGCACCTTCTAGAAGAACCGGGGCACATATGGACGGTGATGTCACACGATGTCATCTCGGTTATTCTAATAGCTTATTGCTTCATAGCCGTTTGGTTCGTCGGTGGGCTTAGTGTCTTCCATTTCTATCTCATGAGCACAAATCAGGTACATTTTCAAGAATCTTTTTTTTTTCGTTTAAATTAACCAATAATTATTTCATACTAAAATGTTTTTTTTAATTAATTAATTAAAAGACGACGTACGAGAATTTCCGGTACCGATACGATAAGAAGGAGAATCCGTACAATCGGGGGATGATAAAAAATATCAAGGAAGTGTTTTTCTCTAATACGGTACCTTCTTTGGTGAATTTCCGTGAGTGGGTGACGGAAGAAGACGATGACTTCGCATTGGAATCGATAAGCAAGAAATTCGGGGGTGACATCATCAAATCGAGCATGAAGGTGGATTTGGAACTCGGTCTGTTTGGCAAGGACGGTAAACCGATTCCGGAAATGCTGCAGAATTTGGATTACAAAGGAATCGAAGACAGTTTGAAGAAGGACAGAGGTGGGAAAATCGATCCGCTTTTCTTAACGCCCGATCAAGAAGATAAATATGAAACGGGAGATAGTGCCGTTGATGATTGTGGGTCCGACGATGGGTCCCACAGAACATCGTCGGTTGTTTTTCACAACCGACGATGATGACTCGGGCTTTAAATTTGATGATTTTTGAGAATTTGGTTAAGTGGAAAAGTTGACATTGTGAAAAAAGGAACCAAGCTGTGAATATTTGAATCTTGTAAATTTATCTCCTACTTTTTTCTTTTTATTTGGTTTCTTTTTGGCAAAAAAAATAAAAAATTAATAATTGCATTAATATATTAATATAGCTTTGGGTAATCAATTTAATACATTCATCAATACAAATGATCAATCTATTATAAGTGGAAATAGTACAAATTGGATCAGAATTAGCATTTTCGGGAAAATTCTAATTATTTCCAAAAGTTTTCAAAAAATTAGAAATCAAAATTTTGGGAACAGGAAATCGGAAATGTTGTGATCATAATCAGTAGAACTTTGAATTGTCATTTTTTCTCAATCACCTATAAAATAAAATCAAAAAAATATTGATATTACAAGTGTAATTTTCAAGAAAAAAAAAATCAAAATTCTCGAAATCGGCAGAATTTGAAAATTTTGTTCCAATATGCACTATATAGTGCCCACACATACGACGTAGCATTGTAAAAGAATTTTTATTTTGAGCGGTTTCCCACAAGAACAATTAAAAATAATTCCAAAAATAATAAGATAAGAAAAATAATTATTATCACTATTTACATAATAATCAATCATATTGAAATAATATCATTTTACCCCAATTAAAATAAAAAATAAATCATGCTCCTCTTCTTCCCCCAATTTAAATCTCAATTCGATTTGCCTTTTAGAGAGAGAAACAAAGAGTGAGCAAGTGTCACCTTTTAGAGAGAGAAACATAACTGAAAATCAATTTTTCTAGCTAGAGAGAGAGACACATAGACATACAACACAGAGAAAACAAACAGGCATAAACAAACATTAAACAGATTCATTGATACGAACAAAAATTCTTGTTCTTCCTAAGAATTCCCGTCGCAAATGGCAGCTGTTTCTTGATCGTCCCGTACGAATTGCATTTTCCCCTAATCATATTCTTCTCTCTCTCTACCCAAACCCTATCTCACTATTTCTCGAAATTCAAGCCCACTTACGAAACTCTTCATCCATGGTTTTGCATGGGTGATCAACAAAGTTGATGAATTTTTTAGATTGCTGATGAATTTAATCGATGTGGGGTGTCGCGAAGAAAGAAAAAAAATTAGGGTTCATAAAGAAACGATTTTTATATGTGATTAGGGTTAACAACAATCTGAATTGATTTTTGGGTTGATTGCTTTGTAACACTAAAAGATATATATGGACGTAAAAGAACGCAAACCACAGAGGATTTATCAAGCTTGGAGAGGAAGCAATGTAAGCCCTTCTTTTAACCCTAACCAAGAAAGGGGGATTTTCTGATTTGATTTTTCTATGTAACTTTACTTAAATCAAGAAATTAGGGTTCTTTGTGACAAAATGCCCCTTTTCGTTTTGTCGTTGGAAATTGATTTTCGCCACAGATTTTACTTTGCTTTGAATTTTTATCATATGGGACACTGAATTTTTTGAATTCTTGCAAATGATGCATGTATTTTGGTTTATTAATTATAATTCATTGTAGTTGTTGTAAATGTTATACAGACATTCGTATTCGGAGGAAGATTGGTCTTCGGTCCCGATGTATCTCCTTTGTTTTTTTCCACGTTCTTAATAGTCGGCCCTGCCTTTGCATTTTGTGTAAAGATCTCGTTTATCATCAAACATCGGACGAACAGAAACGAAACTGCTCTCCCATGGTGTTATGTACTTACTGTGGCTATACTTCTTACCATATTGGTAAGCATATATTTAAAGCAAACGAAATTGTCAAACTCGAATCTTTTTATAGATATCCAAATAAACGCAATTTTAATTTTTTGCAGGATTTGTTCTTCTTGTTCCTCACATCGAGTAGAGATCCGGGAATTATTCCTAGGAATACTAAACCACCCGAGTATGACGAAACTTTCGAAATCGACAGTACCCCTTCGATGGAGTGGGTCAACGGGAGGACCCCACATTTAAAACTACCTCGTACCAAGGACGTTTTCGTAAATGGACACGCAGTGAAGGTGAAATACTGCGATACGTGTTTGTTGTATCGCCCCCCTCGCGTATCTCATTGCTCGATATGTAATAACTGTGTCCAGAGATTCGATCACCACTGCCCTTGGGTTGGCCAATGCATCGGTATAGTGAGTAAAATGAGACGATGACTTAAATATTTAATGTTTTTTTTTTCTTTCAAGAAACTGAATTTTTAATTAACATTCATCTTTTGCAGCGTAATTATAGGTACTTTTACATGTTTATAACAACATCGACGGTCTTATGCGTGTATGTATTCGTGGTTTCTTGGATCAACCTTGTCCAAACGAAAGGCAAAGCCACGCGAGCTATGTCGAGAGATATTTTATCGGATTTTCTTATTGTGTACTGTTTTATTGTTGTTTGGTTCATTGGTGGACTTACGGTTTTCCACTTTTATCTGATTAGCACTAATCAGGTGACAATCTTCATTAAATTCTCCATGCATAAATGAGATACTTAGTTTTTTTTTTTTTTTTTTTTTGATAAAATTAATTCGTCTTCCTTTATTATGCAGACTACGTACGAGAATTTTAGGTACCGGTATGATAGGAAATCGAATCCGTATAACAAAGGGATAATCGAGAATTTTCGAGAAGTGTTTTTCTCAAAAATTCCGCCATCAATGCACGATTTTCGAGCGTTTGTTAAGGAAGATGACATCATGGCAATTGAAGCCACAGACGATGATGTGGCGAAAGGAAAAATCGATATTGAAATGGGGAATAAGTTTGATGATGAGGGCGATAACGTCCTTTCGCTTCCGAAGATTTTACGAGGTGTAGAATTTGAGGGCATCGAGGACATTCTGGAACACGAGGGAGGGAGCGAAAGAGCCGATTCGGATAGGTTTGTGGTTCGTGTTGAAGTTGTGGCTAATGCAGAGGAGAAAAATGCCATGGTATAAAATACGAAAAAAGTCGAAATTTGAGAAGCTAGTTCTTTTGTTATAGGATGATAATGTTCAGAATAATGCAGGATATATAAATTGCAAAAACAGAACAAGGGTGTAATTGTATGATTCTGAAAATTGCAGGATCAATCTTATAATGTTTTTTCCCTTGTCAATTTTTATTTTTTATTTGTTTATTTTGACTTGTGTATGAATATGTTTTGTGCCATTTCCTCTATTTGGATTCCTTCACTGTTCAAAGAACCAGGGAGTAATTCTGTGAGATGTTATATTTGATTATAGGTTAAATTACTGCCACCTCTGAGGTAATGTTAAGTTACGAAAAAACCCTATATTGTTTGGGTAATTACAACCACCTCTCAATTATGAATTTTCTTACACGTCAACCTTTGCGGTGTCAAATTTAGTGGAATCTTCTAGATCACAAGATGTGTCTGGCTTGTAAATATCAGATTGTGTGCATCAGAATCTATATTTTTGCACAAAATGAGTTGTACAAACAAAAGAACATTCCACGGAATCTAGAAGACTTTGTTGAATTTGACATCATAAGGGTGGAAGTGTAAGAAGATTCATAGTTAAGGGGATGATTGTAATTACTTAAACATTAGGGGTTTTTTGTAATTTGAACATAACTCAGGGGATGACCGTAATTTATCAAAAAAAAAAAGACAATATTATTTGGACAATGAATTTTTTTCGAGGGAATAAAAATCTGATCTTTAAGAGAAAAAATAAAAAATAAAAAATAAAAAACAAGAAACCTCAAATTCTTATTTAAGAAAAAAAAATCATTGAAAACCTAAATGTGGAGAGAGCTAGACCACAAGAACTCTTGTCTTAAATGGCAGAAGAAATGAACACCAGAAAGAAAAAGAAAAAACAAATATGAAATCAAGCAGGCCAATAGGAATCAGCCACGTGGCGCACTCCCATATAACTCGAGGATTTCATCAGATGAGATTAGATTCAATGACTTATATATCCAAATTATTTATTTATATAATCTCTCTCACCACTCACTCTATCTTCTTCAGGCTGAGAGTTCCACCAATCAAAAAAAAACAAAAATGGCAGCAGAAATGGCGCTCCTGAAACCCATTTCCAAGTTCAGCCCAAGAATCGGGACCTCAACCCGAGCCCCATGCACGAGGTTCGCCACCGTGAGAATGTCGTCCGCGGCGGCGCCGCCGTCAGCTCCGGCGAGGAACAGCAAGAAGGGACCGAAGAAGGAGATAAAGGAGACCCTTTTGGCGCCGAGGTTCTACACCACCGACTTCGACGAAATGGAGCAGCTCTTCAACACGGAGATCAACCAGAACCTGAACATGGCGGAATTCGAGGCGCTGATGCAGGAATTCAAGACAGATTTCAACCAGACACACTTCGTTAGGAACAAGGAGTTTAAGGAAGCCGCCGACAAACTCGAGGACCCGTTGAGACAGATTTTTGTTGAGTTCTTGGAGAGGTCTTGCACTGCTGAATTCTCTGGGTTTCTTCTCTACAAGGAGCTTGGTAGGAGGCTCAAGGTCTGTTTTTCTTCTAATTCTTGAAAAAAAAAATTAATCTTTTTTTTTTTTTTTTTTTTTTTGATTTCCTGAAATTATTGAATTAGTACATTCTGGGAGTAAGTTTTTTTTAATTGGGTTAGAGTATAGTGGGAGCAATTATTATCTGCTTTAATTTTTTGCTGACTGTGAGAAAATTTCAAGAACTTGTTTTGAGGGGTAAGAACAGGTATCAAATGAATCTGATATTGATGTTCTTTTGTTGTATTTGAGCTTGAAGTGAATATTCGAAAATTATTTTTTTATTTTTTAGTTTTTTTAATTTCCTGAAATTAGTGACTTGTTACATTCTGGGAGTATGTTTTTTTTTTATTGGCCGGGTTAGAATATAATGGGAGCACTTATTGTCTGCTTTAGTTATTTTGAATTTTTTGCTGACTGAGAAATTTCAAGAACTTGTTTTAAGGGGTAAGAACAGTGTCAAATAAATCCGTTATTGATGTTCTTTTGTTGTTGTATTTGAGCTTGAAGTGAGTATTTGAAGGCCAAAGATCGAAACTTTCTTATCGATTGTAGCATTCGCTTAAACATTTTCGATATATTAACGAATTTGCATCTCCACTTGTAAAATGTGCTTAATGATCTTCACAAGTTACTACATTCAGTTGGCTCTTTCATTAGTGAAACTTGTTACACAAATACTAGGTTGTTGTCTCAGCCCTCAACCTAATAATATATAGATGATTTGTCTGTGCAGAAAACCAACCCTATTGTAGCAGAGATTTTCTCTCTCATGTCCAGAGACGAAGCCCGTCACGCAGGGTACATTCGACTTTTCCTCCACTCCCATCACGTCAATTTATTTTTTCCGTTGATTCTGATTTTTCATTTTTGTTTTACGGTTCTTGATCACAGGTTTCTGAACAAAGGTTTATCCGATTTCAATTTGGCTCTCGATTTGGGATTCCTAACAAAGGCAAGAAAGTACACCTTCTTCAAGCCTAAGTTCATCTTCTACGCAACTTACTTATCCGAAAAGATCGGATATTGGAGATACATATCTATATACAGGCATCTGAAGCAAAACCCAGAATTCCAATGCTACCCAATTTTCAAGTACTTTGAGAACTGGTGCCAAGACGAGAATCGACACGGCGATTTCTTCTCTGCTTTGATGAAGGCACAGCCACAGTTCCTCAATGACTGGAAGGCCAAGCTGTGGTCCCGCTTCTTCTGCCTTTCGGTAATTAAAACATATAAATATATCGACATCGAATAATCAATGACATACATAGGTTACTTTTTGTTTGGTTTTCTAACATATTGACGAAATCGAATGTTTTTAGGTTTATGTGACGATGTACCTCAATGACTGCCAAAGAACAGCCTTTTACGAGGGGATTGGTCTCAACACTAAAGAATTCGACATGCATGTTATCATTGAGGTAAATGTCTTTTTGTTCTCGATATCTTCTTGCATCGTTTTGTTCGGGATGTGATAACTGTCGTTTCAGTTTTATTTCGACTTCAAATGTTATTTTGACCATTTTCGAGTCTGAATTTGGCAAAACTCCAAACACGTAGCTTGTAGTTTTTTGAGTTAGCTCTCTAATACAACTTGAATCACAAAAATTGGATGTCGGGTGAGAAAGATATGCATGAATCAATGAACACCGCCCACAATGTTGATGGTCTGAGTTATCTGAGAATAAAAATGTAACTCATTCATGCATAACTTTGTCACCTGACATCCAATTCAACCGATTCAAGTTGGATTGGAAAGCTAACTCAAAGGACTACGGTTTATGTCTTTTGAATTTTGCCAAATTCAAACTAGTAAAGGGTCAAAATCACGATTGAAGTTAAAATTGAAACGACATTTAATATTTCAATTTTGTTCTTACGAAACATATATATGGTTCATTTTTTCTAAACAAAATTTGTTTGTGCAGACAAATCGAACAACTGCAAGAATATTCCCAGCGGTACCAGATGTTGAGCATCCGGAATTCAAGAGGAAATTGGACAGGATGGTGGTAATAAACGAGCAACTGCTCGCCATAGGGGAGACCGAAGATATACCTTTGGTGAAGAACTTGAAGCGGGTCCCACTCATTGCAGCTCTGGTTTCCGAGATATTGGCTGCCTATCTCATGAAACCCATCGAGTCTGGTTCAGTGGACTTTGCCGAGTTCGAACCACAAATCGTGTACTAGAATTTTTTGTCCGTGTAAAAAAAAAAAAAACCGTGCTCATTTCCATTGTTCTATAGAGAATGCAGTTTATTATGTTGTTGTATAAAACCTGGTAACATTTTATTGCAAGAATCTTGTCACTCGTATATGAAATCTTGAATAAGTGTTGCGACAAATAAATGAACCGTTAACTGATGTACGCGGCATGTATACACCTTTACAACACAATGAATCGATGAATTATCCTATCAATTTAGCTTTTCGGGTTTGAGCTTTTCGGGCCGGGCCAAGATTCGGAACACCCAAACTGCAGCTACAGTGGCCTCAATTGGAGCAAGCCAATAAACAATCAAGTGTTGTTTAGTAATATGCTCTCCATTAGCAAAAGCCCATCCAATTACCTAAAGAAACCAGACGTAGATTTCACATTAAATATTTAAATCAGTTACGAAAAGTTTCAAATATCGAATATATTCAAGAAATCGAACAGATATACTAACCGAGGCTGGATTCATGCAACCACCAGTTAGGTCAGAGCCGAGTATGTGAAGAGTAAGCTTGGATAAGCTCGAAATCCAAGTTTTCATGAAGAAACTATCTTTGACTTTCCTAGCAAGCCAGAGCGAAACGATGACAATGGCGAATGTTAGGAGACCTTCTGTCAACGCACCCTTTGCAATGTCGACGCTCAAGTGGGGCCCACTTCCTATTCCGGGAAACATTCGCAAGATTAGCCTAACCCCATAAACCGATCCAACAACCTTTCGTATAGTAAAAAAAACAGCAAAACGAACGGAACACATATATTAGCTACTGAATATTCATAAAAAAACGAGTTTTAAAAATCGAAACTAATCCACATTGTAACACACAGCTTGCTTCAACATAAACAGTAGCTAACAGAGAGTACTGATCAAATTATCATCTTAATCCGATATTTTCCGGCTTCGTCGCTACATGACATAAGCAATCGGATCAAAATTAGGCAGATAATGGATATACAATCACATAATTAAAATGCCCTGAATAAATTTCAAGCAATAACCACCAGATCCTGTAAAAAACCCTAAAAATTGAGATTTACAAAAAGAACAATAATTTGCCAATTTATATAAAGACAGCAACTTTTTAACCTGGGCAGGGATTCTGGCGCCAATGGTGAAGAGGAAATCGGAGAAATCTCCACAAATGGCGGCGGACAGAAGAAAGAGGGGGTTGTAGGCCCCACCATCGGTGATCTTGCCCATGAATGCAAAGAAGAACATGTTCAGAATCGAAACAGCATATCTGATGATTTCTCCGTTAAATTCATGAGCGCCGTAACCCAAAATTCTGTGCACGAGAAACTTGTTTAGCACACCTGACCAAACCCACATCAAAGATATAATGAAATCCGCCGCCGGCAATCGCCATCCCCACGCCATTTTTGGTGCACTTTCTCTCTCTAGAAAACATACAGGCACACACTCGGAGCAGGCTAGAACTTCTAAGGACGATGAATTGGAACCTAAGTTGTCGGATTTTTTTAATGGGTAGACTCGCGTTGGGACACGCGCCGCCGCGTATTGACTAATATTCCATGTGTGGGTTTTCGCCGGATTTTCCACCCGCTGTTGTTCTGTTGAATGATATTTTATTTGAGCTAATTGCACGGAAACCCCTGTGTAATCTCGAATGACTATAAAAGACCTTCATGTTAAAAATATTAGCACATATCCCCCTATATTATTTTTGACAAGGTAGATTGCCCCTTATTTCGAAATTAGCAGTACACTGATGTGGAATGACTAAACTAACCTCGATAATTTATAATAATTTAATATAAATCACTAATAATGGTACAATACGACGTCGTGGCTTATCTTTCGCAATTTATTTCAGAACTATTTCTATTTTCTGTCCAACCAAAGAATTTTAGGGTAATCTCCCACAACACAAACTCAATCCGACTGGTAAAAATTGCTGAAACGATTTCTTAGTCTTGGTTTTTGTGCAGGTTCTGCGGATCGAAGAAAGCGTTGCAGATTTCGATTTAGGGTTTTTGATTTTGGGGGTACGATGTTCATTTTTCACTTCTTATCTGATTTTATTGAATTTACCCTAATTGATACGATGATTTCTCTTCTCAGTTTCCGTTCTTCATGATTCATGCGTTAGGGTTTTGAATAATGTATTTTGATGGAACTATGAGCTGCTTTCACCTGTGTAGTGTAATCTGATTTAAGCTGAATTATTTGTATTTTAGGCTACCATTTTGCTGTTGTTTGACCTTGCACTGATAACCAATCATTTATTGCTCAGAAGACGAATAATAGGATTTTATTGCTACTTATCGGAAATAAGTAAGACAGAGATGTTGTTTGTACTAATTGATGTGGATAGTTATTTGCGCGTCACTGCTTCGTAAACCGTTTTGAGGCTCGGTATTTAGCCGTGGGGCTCTTCCATTTGATGTTGGGAATGTTGATATTTTTTTGTTGCTGAGCGAAGAATAACATTATACATCGAATTAAAACATTCTGAAAAATGAGGATTTGATTTTAACCTTGTTTTGATCGCTAGATTCCTGTAAGTTTTGTAGTAATTGAAAGTCGGTCGCACACTAGTTGTTGCTGTGCTTTTTAGGATCTTGGAAAATTGTTGTAGTTTGGTGTTTGGAATATCAATATGTATGATTCAAGAGTGCTCTGTGATTGTGTTTTGATGGAAGTAACACTAATTACAATGAACTCGTTCACTTGGTTTGACCTGTGGAGTTTTTTACGCTTTAGAAAATTTGTTTTAGCAATCGTTTGGATTATCGGGAGAAATAAATTGGAGATCATCTTGAAACTGGAGACTAAGAAACATTGTATATTGCTATGCATTGTTGCGAAACCCTGCATTTAAAATGCTTTTGTTTAAATAGCAATAAGAATTATCCTAATAAAAATTATGTCTCTAGTGAAAGTGCTTACAGACAATCTATTTATAGAAGTGTGTTTGTTTCCGAACGATGGTATCAAGATTCAACTCTTGGAGTAAATAACCTTTTATTTTTATTTTTAATGTAGAATCAATCTGTTTCCAGTGAAATTTCGTTTCTATTCTGAAATTAGTAACTGGTCACAATTAAAATTCCGATCCTAATCATCCAATAGTTAGACGATGTAGAAGAGGTTAGTATTTTACATTGTCTTTCGCAGTATTCTTCTTTAATGGTCTCAATGTTAATTTCCTCAAATGTATGACTTGTTGACTAGTAAAACTGTAAATCCTCGTTATCCCATTAAACAACTTAACAGTGGTTAGTATTTGACCTTATCTCTTGCAGTATTCTCGTTTATTGTTCTTATCATCAACACTGTCTGAAAATTGGTATGATTAAACACAATTGGGATCTTAATTGCAGGTTAAATGGCTGGTTCTAGGGTTGCTCATGCCACTTTGAAGGGACCAAGTGTGGTGAAGGAAATACTCATCGGAATTGCGCTCGGCTTTGCTGCAGGTAGTGTTTGGAAGATGCACCACTGGAACGAACAGCGAAAAGTTAGGTCATTTTACGACATGTTAGACAAAGGTGAAATCACTGTCGTTGCTGCAGAAGAATAAAAAAAAAAAGACAATTCTGATTTAAATGATTTGCATTTTCACAGCAATTTTGATTTCTTGAATCGGACACGATATTTTGCCTAGTTTGATTCTTTTCATGCAAATAAGATGTATTAGATTTTATCGAACTATATGATCATCACTTTGTGGGTGATTTTCTTGTTTATTTAGTGCTTAGTTGATGTTATTTTGGCACCATTAACAAAGCACTTACTTCCAGCTAATCCATTTTGTGGATTCTTGCAGCTGTTCAAATTCTGCCTATCTGTCCAAAAGTCTACATTTTCGACAGTTGTTACGGTTATATTTACAATGAATATCTTAGCTTGATACGATTCCGATGTTATTTTATATCGATTTGTTCGAGGTTTCAGATTGAGTCCCGTGTTTGTTTTCTAGCCTCGTAATTTGTGTTTGATCATTTCCTGCTAATGAATTGACTATAATTATTATTTAACTTAGTTTTCGTTGTCGCAATATACGACACGAAATGCATAATTTCATCTCATTTTCTTATTGGTGCCTAATTGTGTGCATTTCCAGGTACATTCATTTCTATAAGACTTTTTCTTCCTTTGGATAGCTGGAATTTTATTGGTTTATTAAATGATTGGGACCAAAAGGAAACATGACAAAGACTTCATTCGTCAACGCAAAAGAGTTGTCTAATAATTAAACGAAATATAGTTATGGAAGTTTAAACGAGAAATGAAAAAAACACATAAACTTCTAATTTATATAATTACTAATTACTATTACGGCCACCTCTAAAGGAAGGTTAAATTACGAAAAACTCCTTCGTGTTACAACTATTCCTCAACTATGAATCTTTTTACTCGTCCATTCTTATGGTGTCAAATTTAATAGCATCTTCTAGATTATATGGAATATTCTCTCATTTGTATCTGTTTTATTCCATTCGAGCTCCACATTTTGAAATAAGATGATCATAAGATGTGTCTCTTGGCTTGTAAACATCGTATTATGGTGCATCAGAAACTGCATTTTTTCACAAAACGAGTACAAACTAGAGAATATTCCACAAAATCTTGAAGATTCCGCTGAATTTGACACGATAATAGTCGGCGTATAAGAAGATTTATAGTTGATGAGTGGTTATAATTATTCAAGCACGAGGAATTTTTTCGTAATTTGACATTGCCTCAATGGTGGCCATAATTTACCCTCACTAATATTGAATGCTATTTTAATAAGATGGTTACTTTATAAAAACTTGAGGCTAAAATAAGTAAGTTCACGAAATTATTTTTATTCAAATTTAATAAGTGGTTCATAATGTTAAATTTTTTTTTTGTAATTTAAATATAGAGAAAAAGATTGTGAAAAGTATAAAAACAAAGCGTAATTGACTTAAAATGACAGATAGACAAAGACAGGCGATTACATTAAACAAGAACGACTTGGCTCCTTAAAATCCACAGCTTGGTTTCGTGATCATAAATTGATAAACATTAAATACTAAATAATACCTCCCCATAATAATTACACCACCACTCTTTAATCCGAGTTCATTTACAAAATCTGAATTTACACCCAAAAAAATCTTTCTACGGTGAGTTTTATGTTTCGCCAATTTTGTACTCTCCTTTTTGGGGTTTCTTTTTTGTCTTATTTGCATGAATTGTCGAAGAAACTTGTCGAATTTTGCTTTGTGTTTGTGTATTCCTTCTAGGTTTCCGTTATAGTGTTAGAATTAGGGTTAAATTCATGATTTGTAGTTGAAGGCTGAATTTTCATTTAATTTTATTCATAACCGGTTGTGTAGGAAATTCATTTGGGAAAAGAAAACCCTTGTCCTTACTGCTTTTGGATTTTAATAATAAAGTTTGTTCTGCTTCCTTAACATTCATGATTTACTGATTTTTTTTTCGATTTTTGTGTTTGGGTGAAATTTATTTCCGGGTGAATTCACGAGCCAGCCGCCTCATTTCGAGACCCTATTAATTGCATAACTCGACTGTAAAGAGAAAAATCGGTTGAACTAATTTGGTGTGTAATGTCAAATTTATTGCAGTATGTGGTAGATTTATACGTTTCTTTGTTTTCGGTTCCTTGGTCGTGTAACGAAGTTCACGATCTCATCATTTATATGAAAAAAAACAAGAAACCCAATATTTCCTATGTAGTCCCATCTTCTTGTTTTATGAATACAGAGACATATTTATTTTGACATCTATAAGCTTTTACAGTCTCGTGTAGCATCCAACCGATTTTTTTTTTTTTTTTTTTCAGGTTAGAGGTATTTATCGGGAAAGAAAATGGGTCAAGCTTTCGGTTGTATTCAAGTGGATCAGTCTACAGTTGCCGTGAAGGAACAGTTTGGCAAATTTGACGAGGTACTCGAGCCCGGCTGCCATTTTCTGCCATGGTGTATCGGCTATCAATTAGCCGGTTCGCTAACATTGCGTTTGCAACAGCTTGATGTTCGTTGTGAAACAAAAACCAAGGTTTTTTCCACCGTATAATATTACTTCTCGGACAATTAATTTTTCTTTCTAATTGGTTCTCACAGTATTTATAAAATACAAATCAAGAATCCTCTGTTTTCGCGTTTCAGGACAATGTGTTTGTCACGGTGGTTGCTTCGATCCAGTACCGAGCATTGGCGGACAAAGCAGCCGATGCGTTTTATAAGCTATCCAACACTAAAGAACAGATCCAAGCTTATGTTTTTGATGGTACGGTTGTGAATATATGTTTTTTTTCTCGATTCCTGTGTGGCAAATTTATACGAATAATAAAGCATGCATGAATGTTTTTTTAGTCATAAGAGCGACCGTACCGAAACTGGATTTGGACTCGACTTTTGAGCAGAAGAATGACATAGCTAAAGCTGTGGAGAATGAACTTGAAAAGGTAATGCATGAATCCATGCTTTTCGTAGCAAAAAAAGTCTCGTTTATACGCGCAATGTGTATGTATACTTAATAGTTTGTATGTATATTCTGCGTCTTCTTACCTTTGCAGGCAATGTCTGCGTATGGTTTCGAGATAGTTCAGACACTGATTGTTGACATTGAACCAGATGCTCAGGTCAAGAGAGCGATGAACGAGATAAACGCAGGTAACTTTTCCGAGATTGTAAATTCGATATACAAAACATAAAGTACTGCATCCACATGCTTCTATTTTGTTGGATTTTTGGTGATATTACAAACCTAATATATTTAGGCCTCATTTGGCTGGCAAGATAAGTCACTTATTTGGGAAGAACCACTCCGTAATCTTAGTTTGATAACTTTTCGGGCCGGGCCAAATCTTTTTGGGAAGAACGACTCCGTAATCTTAGTTATTGGGAAATTGTGCATTTGGATCTAGGGGGTGGAAATTGGATGTGAAATTCCGAATTCCGATTCCGATCTGAAAACTTCCGATTTTGGAACAATATTTTTCATTCCGAATCCCGAAAGTTCCGATTTCTTTTGAACAAAATTTGAATACATATTAGCTCCTCTTCCCGAAAGTTCCGATGTCATCCATTTTCCGAAACTCCAATTTCCGATTTGTCCAATTTCACTGAATTGGAATTAATTTTCCACTTCCGATTATAAATAACAATTTTCCGTAAGTGCTATTCCGATCCAATCCATCCAATTTCCACCATAATTCGACCCCCCTTATTCCAACTGCAGAACTGAGAGCCCCAATAAGATTGCAATAATTTTATCTTGGTTTATTCCATTGTTTCTACCAAACAAGCACTTATTCCGCATCTGAGAAACATTAGCCAAACGAGGCCTTGCATCCAAGAAACAAAGCATTTTACCTTTTTTTTTTTTTAATTTTTAATGATGATAAATGATCACTTGAATCATCTAACGATCTGTCGATATAATTACAGCCGCTAGGCTAAGGGTAGCTGCAACCGAAAAAGCCGAAGCCGAAAAAATATTACAAATCAAAAGGGCAGAGGGAGAGGCAGAATCCAAGTACTTATCGGGCCTCGGTATAGCCCGTCAGCGTCAGGCCATTGTAGACGGTCTTAGAGACAGCGTAATAGCCTTCTCCGAGAATGTACCTGGTACTTCAGCTAAGGATGTAATGGATATGGTACTCGTTACGCAGTACTTCGACACTATGAAGGAAATCGGAGCATCTTCGAAATCATCTGCCGTTTTTATCCCTCACGGGCCTGGAGCTGTTAAGGATATTGCTACACAGATTCGTGAGGGTCTTCTTCAGGGGTCTGCTGCGTCTACTAGTTAACGTTTCGGGGGTGTTTTCGTCTTTTTGTTGCTTTGTTAGATATATATAAATATTGTGTATTGCTTTTCTTTTTCATTGAATGTGTAAGTTTGATTTTTTTTTGTAATTGTGCATGGGTTCTTTGGCTACTGTAATGTGCAAGTTTGAGTTGATTGTTACCATCTTTTTGAAATATTTAATTTTTATTCATTTATTTTATTATATATATATATATATATATATATATATATATATATATATATATATATTATAGGGCAAATTATGGCCGACCCCTGAGTTATGTTCAAATTACGAAAATTCCCCTTATGTTTAGGTAATTATAGCTGCTTGTCAACTATGTATTATCTTATAAAAAAAACCCTCTAAAGGTAAATTTAGTGATGTTAAATTGGTAATATCGAACCGAAATTTTGGTACACCTACATTTCATACCGTTCACCGAATTGAATATATGATTTGGTCCGATAAATAATCGAATTACATAAATTTTATGTTAAAATATTTAAAAGGAGCGATTGCTCTAATTATCTAAACAATATGATTTTTTTTTCTTAATTTGACATCTATATTATAAATATTAATTGAGATCTAAAGAAATAATAAATTGAAAAAAGAAAAAAAAAAAAGAGAAGTAAAATAGTGTCTTGTCAACAAAGAAAACTCTCTCTACTATTTCTCTTTTTATTTTCAAAATTAAAAGGAAGAGAGAGAGAGAGAGAGAGAGAGAGGCATATAGCACAGTGTACAAAGAAGATCAGCGGAAAGTAGCGTAGTAGAGAGAGAGAGAGGGGTGAAAATGAGCAGCATAGGCACAGGCTACGATCTGTCAGTAACGACATTCTCGCCGGACGGCCGCGTTTTCCAGATCGAGTACGCCGCCAAAGCCGTCGACAACAGCGGTACGGTCGTCGCAATCAAATGCAAAGACGGTGTCGTAATGGTATGTGTATATATATATATATATATATTTGTAGATAGACACCAGTTTGTATCTAACTAGGGTTTGCGTTTGGGTTTTTCACTTTTCTGATGTTGTTTTGGAAGGGAGTGGAGAAGTTGATTGCTTCAAAAATGATGTTGCCCGGGTCCAATAGAAGAATCCACGCCGCCCATCGCCACTCCGGCATGGTACCCCCTTTTACTTCGTTTTTTCTTCATACACATATTTTTCCTAATGCGGATGTTTGTTTTGGATTTTGATAATTGGTGTTTATTTGTTTGTAAAATTGAGAGTAAGTTAGTTGGCATCTAGGTTACTTAATTTTTGGGCATTATTGTTCATATGCGATCACGAAGGTTTAAATTTATCATCTAGCTGAAGAATAAACACTTTCAGCAACAAAAGGGTCTTGTAGTTTTTCTTAATTTTTGTGGTGTCTTCTCAGCATTATACATATGTATAAACACTTTGCTGGAAACTGTTTCGTATCTGCTCTTTTAGAATTTAAATAGAACGTTTATCCTCTGTATTTGATATTCTATCATATGCAGGCTGTTGCTGGATTAGCTGCAGATGGCAGGCAGATTGTGACAAGAGCAAAATCTGAAGCAACTAACTATGAGAGGTTTGTTTTGTAGTTTTTTTTTTCTGTGATTTTCTTTTGTTTGTGTTTACTTTGTCTATTGAGCAAAGGGTCTTTGAGCATGTCGAAAATGTGTCCAAATATGCATTCCCAACTAACTATGAAAACTTTCATAAACCAGTAAATAATATCATCTGATTATATTAGCTCAACAATTTTTTATTTTTTTAAGAATGCTCTAGCGAGATGTTTTCCTACTCATGTTTTCCATCAGTGAAACTTTTGAATTTGCAGCATCTTGAAATTTTGAGCAGATACATGTGTATGATCATACTGTTTTGTTGTTAATGTGGTTATCTGTTGCTGTTAAAGTATAACTTAATGAGCATTTGTTCTGACATCTTATTGTGTCTTTATCATTTCCAGTGTGTATGGAGAACCAATTCCTGTAAAGGAACTTGCAGAACGTGTCGCCAGTTATGTGCATCTGTGCACACTATATTGGTGGCTAAGGTTTGATATTCTATCTCTTGTTATTCTATCATTGCGCTTCCATTAATTCGATGTTCTGCCTGTAACCCCGATAATAAAATTTTGCAGGCCTTTTGGTTGTGGTGTAATTCTGGGAGGTTATGATAGGGATGGGCCACAGTTATACATGATTGAACCATCTGGCATATCCTATGTGAGTTTTTTTTTCCCTTATTAGTCGCAAAAAATGGTTATTGCATTTGATATCCATAATGCCTCGGGTATTAATCTAGTATATGTTGGATTGTTAGGATCATATTACGTGATATCCTTTTTGGAATTTCCTTCTTATACTTGTGTACTAATTTATATTTTCTATTTCATCAGCGATACTTTGGAGCATCCATTGGAAAAGGAAGGCAGGCTGCGAAAACGTAAGCTGCCTGCTCCCCATCTTGGATTTACATACTCTTTAAATCCTGGAATGAAATGGAAAAATAATAAATTGTAGCTTGTGATTTCGTAAACATGACTTTCTCTCTATAAATCTTTATATGGTTATCATTTTGGTTCTCTGTTAGGCATCTCTTTACTTTATTTATGTCTACTTTTGCAAATTTATGGTCATCTTGTTAGGCATTTCTTTTTACTGTGATCTGCTGATGCTGAGCCAAATATTATATTTACAGGGAGATCGAAAAATTAAAGCTTTCAGATATGACATGTCGACAAGGTGTTATTGAGGTGGCCAAAATGTGAGTCTTATCTAGTAAAGGATATGCATCATTATTATATATAGACATATACATGTGTGTGTGTGTGTGTGTGTGTGTGTGTGTGTGTGTGTGTGTGTGAATCATGAATGTTAATATGATCTAACCAAACTCCAATCCTATTAATCATTAGATTGTGCTGTAAGTCATTTCTAACTTCTACCAGATAGTTGTGTATAAGATGAACTATGAACAATCGCTCCTTCAACCTAGGAAATATACCACCCACCCTGTAATAAGCCTGACATAACAAATATTTGTTGTGGTAGAATTAAACACCTTCGGAAATGCTGGGGAAGATGAGAAGTTAGACAGTGCAAAAGTTTATACACGAGGGATCCTATATAGTCTACAAGTGCTTTCAATTCTGTGTTTCTTAGATTAGTTAACTAAAACTTCTACGGGAAAATGTTGCTACCATCACTCTTACCTACAATTTTTGTAAATATCATTTGACTTTGTTTTGCAGCATATGTTCATAACTGTCTTGTAAAATAACTAACTTGGACCTGCTTTATCAATGCTCAACTTTACTGAACAAATGAAATCCGAAAACCAACTCTTATTGTTTAATTTCACACTGACACTCGTTGTTTTGTTTCTACTATACAATGTTGGCAATTGGTCTTTTATAATATGTCCCATGTTTCGTATAAGCAGTATTTATGGGGTGCATGATGAGGCCAAGGACAAAGCCTTTGAATTGGAAATGAGTTGGGTCTGTGATGAGTCGAATCGCCAACATCAAAAGGTAACCGGAGTGTGCTTATATATTATTATCACACCGAGCTGTGTCTCTTTTGCATTTTGTTATCGTTTTGCGTTACTTTGTCGTAACAGGTTCCAGACAATCTATTAGAGGAAGCTAAGGCAGCAGCTAAAGCTGCACTTGAAGAAATGGATGCAGATTAGTTTTCACTCATTTGCTTTGATCATTTTATTTTTTTCTGCTTCGAATTATGTTGGTCATGGTGTGGAAATACGCGAAACGGCACCAAAGATGATGTTAAGTCAATCGGATTTTATTAAACCTATGATCATGTATACTCTACACTTGCGATGATATGCACATCACCGTGAAGTTTGATCGACCGATTCGTAATTCATATATAAGAGAACATCTTCAGTTCCATATGATTAAGTGGCTAAAAATATAGATTTTATTTTTTGAAATTTCAGCAATTTAAAAAAAAAAAAAAAAAACATGTACTAAAGTATACAATTTTTCGTGTTTTAAAAAAAGATTTAATAAATGCTTGAATATTTCTCCAACCCAAGAACAAAACCTGGGTACGGCCCATGAAAGAAAAACTGAGGCCCAGCCCACGAACAAAAATTATGGCACGGCGTCTAACAAACTGCTATATTTTGCAGGAAACAGTAAAAAGTCAACAAAAAACATGAAACAATCCTGAGCATCTCTTTTCTTTACAAGAATTAATAACAACTGACACAATATTATGACATCCCCTTTACAGATGCAGCAAAACCTATAACAACAACAACGTATACAAACAAGAATCAGAGCTTGTTTTCTAGCTCTTTTTCGCCTCGGCATTTCCTCGAGCGGTTGTTTTGCTGTACACGAGTACCAACAGGAACAGCCCTATCACCGAACAAACCACACTTCTCTTTCCAGAAGCAGAAAATCACTTTCCCCAACCATTGAACTAGAATCGAAACAGGCAAAACGGGATAAAGACCCTCCTTTCACTCTTAAGAAAAGGAAAAACGGTTTACATTCTAAGAAGACGTTGTTTCAACTTCCTTTCCGCTACCTTCTTCACTAATTTGTTTCTTCAACCTCCTTAACCAGATTTCATACACAACAGGATATGGTGTGCCGCATAGGCTGTCAACATAGTCCGCAAACGCTTTCACTACAGCAGATATGTCGCCTAGTTTCTGCTGAATCAGCCTCCTCGACCAAGAAGTTTCTCTCCATTGCAATGCTCCTTCAACCGAATCCAAAACGGGCAATTCCACACCACAACAAAAATAGAGCATATACACCAGGCTTTCTGCATCAGAAGCAGAGCACAATTTCCCTTCTTGAAGAGCCGCAGTGGAAGAAAAATGGAGATTTAATGCTGGACGGTCTCTTTCTTCTAAAATCGCATGCCCCCACCCTATAAGGACATAATAAGGCCGCCCCATACCAGATTTCACGCATATTACATTTTCTGGCCTGATATCTCCATGTCGAATTCCAAACGAAGCAGAAGCAGAGAGAGCAGATAAGCAATCATGGCAGCACCTTATAGCCTCGTCTGGACCAAAACGCCCTTCTCTTACCATATCAGCCACAGTTTGTCCCACCGGAGTGGTGACTAGGACAGGGGTTCCGCACCATGGGTGGTCACAGTTTCCACCTGTGCTCGGTTTCCGACAATGGCCTGGATGAACTACCCGCCCCGATGCTGACAGTTCGGGAATATACTTACTGGATATTCCTTTCTGTTTCATTACACTCAGTACTTTCGTTTGCCTCTGAACATGGTACCACAGATTCATGTCTTGCCATGCGGGCTCTAACTGTGAAGGATGTGAGCCGACGTACAGAAAGAGAGACTTTCCGGGATCTTCAAGAGAAGACGCAATGTAAAACAGAATCTCCCCATCGTTTAGAACTTCGTCTATCTGATAACCCTTTTGCCAGGTGGCATCATCTATCATCAAAATAGACCCTGCTTCTAGCTTCAGAGATTTTCTTGAGTCCACTTTAATGGACTCTTCTTGTACTTCCACAATTTCAGGAGAAGCAGTGCGATGCTGAAAGCGGAACAACCCATTACCGTTCACCCTTGTATTATCCTCCAATTGCCTCTCGATCCTCCTTGCTTGAAGACGGGAACTGTGGTCAGCTGCTAAATCTTCAATTGTGTTTTTAGGTGTTCCAGCATATTGCGATATGGAATGAAATGTAGCATAAAGTACCTGCAAAGCCCCAATGTCACCCCAGTTGGCATTTCCGAGCTTGTTCCATATCCTATCAACTGGGGAAATTGCAATCTGCGAATGGTTCTTGATCCATGCTGCAGCAGATTCGTAGACGTTATTTAGATCGAATTCCAGCTTACTCAGATCACCTTCGATTTTAACAACACCGCCGTATTGAGAATCGACTAGAAGTACAAAAACGGAATTCAAACTCACAGGAATGTTGGATCTGCTGATACTTCTTGCAAGCAAAACACGAAGAGCAAAGAATAAAGCTTCGCCCATAATAGAAGTGGAGGGCTTAGGGTCCTCATCTGCTGAGGTAAGACCTCCAATATCAGGTCTAAGCAGGGCGAAGGCAATAATATCATCCCACTTCCCTTGTGGATGTCTCGGGTTTTTGAGCATTATAGCCGAGGCACAAAGCCCTTCAAGTTTACCTTTGGCAATAGCCTGCTCAGCTTGGTAAAATCTCAAGTTCCGATCATACAAAGACGAGATATAGAAAGGCATTAGATCGTTTTCAGCACCCCAAAAAGCTTCCCACAAACCACTCGCACTTGCATGCAAAAAGTCCTCAAGAGCAAGATAAGCAGTTGCTTCAACTGTGCTGGATGATGACGCGTATATGGCACTAGGCATACGAATTAATTGCTGAAATGGAACACCTTCTAGAGCATAATCAAACTTCTGAAGGTCTATTAACTCAAAAGGAACATCAAATGAAGGCGTCCCATTATCTTGAGCGAGATCCTCAAGCCAATCCGTAAGGTATGCTTTCAGGGTTTCACTGTCCACAAATCTACGCAGAAATTCCTTCCTATCTTGAGTTCTACCACCTGAGGAAATACTGGACTTTCTGGCTGCGGACTCCACTGAATCCCGATCTGAAGATATACCTAAAAGTATAATGTTAATTTGTGTAACTATCAGTTTTTTTTTCCGAACATTTCCCATTGATCTGTTTATATTAGAAATAGAACTGCAGATGCAATTGGAAATAAATTCAAAGAGATACAAGCTGAAAGCAAAATTCTGAACTATTAAAAACATGTTCGAGTAAATCACAGCTCACAGTAAATATCTCAGCCTTTTCCTTCTAAAATGAAAACACGACTCCTATACGGATGGTAATTTCAAACAGCTGATTTACCACCAAACTGAACTACCTTAACCACGACCCACCCTTGTTGGAAAAGACCATAAATGGGTTACAGTCTCGGGTTTCAATATTTCGACCCAATCAGATCCGGTACATACATACATATATGTGTCTGTATATACACAAATACACACAAGTGAAGATAAATTCCGTCTTATATGGAAGCATTTAAACTATGAAAAACTATATGAAACGGAATCGATTTTTCGCTAAGCATTTCCCCTGCAGCAGTCTCTATAATTTGATAACAACTAAACAAGATTAAGCAATTTGCAAACGACGCCAAAAAATAAATTAATAAAATACAATAAATCAAACACAAGTGAAAGTACAGATCCTCATAAAGTAAAAGAGCAATTAAAATTTAAAACCAACTGGGATCACCAAAATCACGAGAATGAGCAAAAATAAACTGTAATTCTACGATAAATCAGTGCAAATGATCACTATAATCGTTCAATTAGGGCATAATTCAGTTAACACAAAATCATCCGAAAATAAAAAAAGGGAGGAACAAAATTAGGGCTCAGAAAATTCAAAAAAAATACTCACCTTCCATAGCAGAAACGAACAACTGATGCAATTGGAGCAGATTTCGGCCTAGATCGTTGACATCGTCAGTAAGCAGGAAGTCCACAACGACTGTTACTCACTCTCTCTCGCTCTAGAGAAAGACCCATTTCTTTTTCCTCTCTCTCTCTCTCTCTCTCTCTCTAAAGCACACGCTTTTCTCTCTCTAGAAATGCATCGGTTTGACAGAAGCCTTAATATTATAATATAATTATATTGCTGGACCTTGTTGTCGTCAAATATTCCTTCATAAAACATTATTAAAAATAAATCTTTTATTAATTAAATTTAGATTTAAACAATATTTATAGTCATACCTTGTGCTTTTTCAGGTGTACTTGGCCATACTCTTTTGTCTTTTCGTTTTTGAAATTGCAATTCAATGCTGGCACCAAATGTGTCCAAATTGGACATCATTTATTTATATAATTCATAAAATGGATATAATTTTGATTGAGGATTAAAAGATTAGTTATACAATATTTAGATGAATTATTTATTAATTACTTTTTTAAATTAACATGTTCTATACTATGTATTTATTTGAGTGCAAAAGTTGTATGCTTTAACTCGCGATATTTTCCTATGTACTAAATTGCTCGAGGATCATCAAGCTACACAACTCGATTGTTAAGAGTTATGTTTGAGAGTGATTTTTCACTTTGATATTTATTCGGAATTAGCATTGAGCACAAATCAAACACGAGTTGTATGACTTTTTGTAAATCTTTTTTTTTTCTAGTTGAATTGTCTTTTAAGCCTGGTTCGTTATATTAACGAACCTGACTGAGACGTACGCGCGCGTTCTCTTTCCTTCTCTCTCTATATTTTGACGATGAGAATAGATCTTATATTTGGTTTGATTTAGAGAACTACTCATGATCAAGACAAGTGATCATTTATTCAAATAGTAAAAGTGGATAATTAATAAATCCAAACAAAATCCCAAATTGATGACAATATTCCCCCTTATGCCATTACAATTTTTTTTATTTCAAGCATGCACTTCTTCTACTTCCATTTTCTCCATAGCAGTTCCATTTTCAGATTTCTCTTCTGTCTTAGGATCTTCTTCCTTCTTCGTTTTTTCGTGTAAGAGATCACATTCCATAGTCCAGTTGCCGAGTTTCTTCACAGCATCTTCATCTGATAAACAAAACAAATTCACAAAAATATCACTACTAGTTAACATTATTACATCAAAATAACCTCCTCTCTCTCTCTCTCTCTCTCTCTCTCTCTCTCTCTCTCTCTCTCTCTCTCTCTCTCTCTCTCTCTTACCAAGCCTTGGGACAGTGTGGCCTTGAGGGTGCCTAATGATGAGAGGGTCGACAAACGCAGAGGCTAACTCCTCAGAAGGCAGTTTGAGCCAATCTTTTTCTCCAATGAAATGAACAGATTTTACATTTATCGGATCTTTGTAAGCAACCTCACATATACTTGGCTGCCTAAACTTCGAACCCGATATCGATACAAATAGTTCCATCGGTGGATGCTCCTTCAATATCTTCCCCTGCATATATATATCCATCAAATAAATACACATTTCCAATATCACACAAATTCGACAAGATCTTTTTCTTTCTTTTCTTTTCGATTTTATGAAAATTTGAAGTACCTGTGCTTGATATCCGAGTAAAAGGGCCGATAAAGTAGCTCCCTGCGAATCAATGTGATTAGTATTTCATTGCTCTTATTAAAAATTGATTCTTGGAATCAAGAATCAACTTTCTTGAAATGTGATAAATCAATTTTCTTGGAATCAAGAATCAAAATGGGATTTTTAATTTATTTATTTTAATTAGTTACCTGGGAGAAGCCAAGCAAGCCATGAAATGGACCTTTGCTAGTAATATAATCACACAAGTAATCAATGCATTCATCCAAGTTTGTATACTCTGTGAATTCCTGTTGTTCAATAAAGCGTTGAAAGATACACAAATTAAAAACAAGTCCCTTAATTATTTGCAAAATCAATACAATATATAACATTGATGTATATATGCAACTATATACATATACATTAAGGTTGGTTTAATTTTGAAGTAGTACCTTATCAAACTGAAACCATTCAAAGTAAGGTGGTGGGAATATTCCTTCGATGTCGGATTTCCCTCCGGCCGGGAATATTCCGTCCGGAAAATCCTGCATACATAATATTTTTTTTCAGACACAACTTTTTCCACATGATGCAAGAGAATTAATATACTATATGAATATACCATATCAAAATGAGCAAAAATAGAAGGATCCCATTTGCTGATTTGCTTGCAGAGGAAGCTTCCACTGGTTCTGAAACCATGCAAACACAGAATCTTCTTCTTCTTAATTGCTACTTCTTTAGCTTCCATTTTCACACACAGAGTGAACAAAAAAAGTGTGAATTTTTTGGTAGTTGATCAAAAGAATGTCTTAGGTTAAAGAAGGATCTGTAGGTAAGGGCCAACTAACTTTTGGAGTTTGGTAGTTTGCTTGGTTGGGACGGTGTACACGTGGTCCAATCCAATTGGTTAACACCATGCATGCATTTATATGTATATAGAGAGAGAGATTTGTTATAAAAAAAAAAAAAAAATTCTCACATTTAAAACGGTCAACAGCTACACCACTGAACACAGTAAAATCGTGGCTGGCAAAAGATAACGGCTAGTTTGAAATCGTGCTCGTATATTATTTCCATCGATATAAAAAAAATATATATATATATATATATATATATATATATATATATATATATATATATATATATATACTTATATATATTTAATAAATCAATAATCCCCATCTTCAAAGATCAACTGTTACAGAAACATTTGTCGGTCCTCTCTCTCTAGAAAGTGAAAAAGGGGAATAAATAAACTACGCACCACCGTCTGTCTCCCACACCGTTAATCCCACACAAATTTCTTATCGAAAGGTAAATTTTTATTTCGCCATTGAAATTTGTGTTTGGGTTTTATGAAATTATATGTGCAAGAAGTCGTTCTGTATCTTTCTTGATTTTGTTGTTTAATGATATTTTCTTGAATTAGGTTATCAATTTTTCCCTCTTTTTTCTGTTCCCATTTCTTGAGTGGTTCCGATTAGGGTTTATGCTTCTTCGTCTCATCCTATTCCAATCAGGGAAAAAATTGCAGCTTTTTTTAAATGCTTTTCTATTTTGATTTTTGATATATTTTTTTTTTGCTAGGGCTAAAGATCAGATTTTTCGTTCCAATAATGCAATTTATTAAAATACTCTGGCTCTGTGTGGAATTAGTTCAAAATTTTGGCCACGAGGGCAAAGATTTTGTAATGGGCACCATCTTTTTTCGGGTTTATCAATTCGGTAATTTACTCGAGTTTTATTTTATGAGTGTTTCATGTTTCAGTCCCTTTTCTTGTTAAGATAAATTGTTTGCATTAGTGTTTAGACTTTGAGATTAGAACGTACAAAATGTGATTAATTATCCGAAAAATGGACAACGTGATGGTTTTTTCGCAAATTGATGGGTCAATTTGGTTCGATTATATATGACAGTAAATCTCTCTATATAAGCCTTGTCGATTTTATTTTATATGGAGAAAGCGACAAAATGTAGTTTCTTTCGATCCCACTTTTTGTGGAATTAACTGCTGCGTGTTACATTGCAGGATCAACTTATTCCCCGATAATTTTGCAAAACAACATCCTAGAACAATCATTTACCGTCGAAGAGTTTGAGAGTGGAGCTTTTCTAGTCCTTTGAAGAAACCTACTATGGTAATTTTACATTCCGCTTTCTGATTAATTGGTGAATAGGGTATCCGGGTCAAAGAATTCAAGAAAACAGTTGATATTCAAAACTCGAGAAAATCGGATTTGGGGTCGTTTTTCACGTTTTTTTTTGTTTCTTTTTTTTAGGCAACGAATGAAAATCTTCCACCAAATGTTATAAAACAGTTGGCTAGGGAACTCAAGAATCTTGACGAAACCCCTCCCGAAGGAATCAAAGTGGGTGTTAATGATGATGATTTTTCAGTAATATATGCTGACATTGAAGGACCCGGTACACTATTATTTATTGTTATTTTTTCCCGTTTGGATTTTTACGAGATATTATTTTCTATTTGGTATTGATGCCTATAATAACCTCGCAGCTGGTACTCCTTACGAAAACGGTGTTTTCCGCATGAAGTTGATATTGTCTCGTGATTTCCCTCAAACGCCCCCTAAAGGTCCGTGATTATCTCCGTATAAAAACCGGATCTTGATTTATATATTTTGTTCGTTTAGTTTTAAATGTATTATTATCTCCTTTACTTGCAGGCTATTTTCTTACCAAGATTTTTCATCCGAATATTGCGACCGATGGGGACATTTGCGTCAATGCCCTGAAGAAAGACTGGAATCCGAGCCTTGGTTTAAGACACGTGTTGATTGTAAGTTCTCTCGATTTTTACTAACATTTTTTTCATCAAATGTCGTCCGTTAAATTTAATTGGTTGTTTCGATACTATTTTAATCAACAGGTAATAAGATGCTTATTAATCGAACCGTTTCCGGAATCAGCTTTAAATGAACAGGCTGGCAAGATGTTGCTTCAAAATTACGACGAGTACGCTAGACATGCGAGGTGATGTCGTGCTTCTAACACGTCTTTTATTTGTTTTAATATTATTTTATCTTTTTTTTTTTTTTGTGATTATCTGAAGAAAAAAAGTGGACAGGCTTTACACGGGAATACATGCCATCAAGCCGAAGTCAAAATCGAGAACTGGAAATGTTGACCATACGAACACTACTGCAGTGAAGTGCTGTATGGAACAGAAGAACGGTGTTGTTCCAAAAATGCCCATGCCATTGGCTCCGAAAATAGAAAATTTGCTAGATCAGACGGCTGATGTGGCATCATCGATCGAGGGTGGATTAACGGCACAGAAGAAGGATAGTGGAGTTAGCAAAGCTCCAGCAGGCAAAAAGAAAATGGATGCCAGAAAGAAAAGCTTGAAGAGACTATGAATGCTTTCTTTAAATTGTTATGATAGACTTTTATGTTTTCTTTTAATTACATCAAATAAATAATTAGAAAATTCTGTACCAAAATATTTGTTTCTTTTGTAGTAAATTTTTTGCCCAAAATTATTTGCAGTTTCTTCAATTCTGGTCATTACCACTCTTAATTAATTGAAATATAATTAGTCGAGAAGCAATTATAACAAGGGTATTTTAGTAATCTTTTTTTTTTTTTTGCTATAAGCCATGCATATTTATTAATTTTCTTAAGACTAAACATTCTTCACAATCTTATATAATCATAACAAAGATTCCTACTGAAAGTGGGGATTAAATGAACATCACTTAGCCATCATAACCTTAACAAACTCCTCGTAATTAATCTGTCCGTCACCGTCCACGTCAGCCTCTCGGATCATCTCATCAACTTCCTCGTCGGTCAGCTTCTCTCCGAGATTCGTCATGACGTGGCGGAGCTCTGCAGCAGAGATGAACCCATTTTGATCCTTGTCGAAAACCCTAAACGCTTCTTTCAGTTCCTCCTCGGAATCCGTGTCCTTCATTTTACGGGCCATCAGATTCAAAAACTCAGGGAAATCGATTGTTCCGTTTCCATCCGCATCGACCTCGTTTATCATGTCTTGGAGCTCTGCTTCGGTAGGGTTCTGGCCGAGTGATCTCATTACAGTACCGAGCTCCTTGGTTGTGATGCATCCTGCACAATCAGTTCAAACTAAGGCTTCGTTTGGTTCGTGGATTTTGAAACGAGGAAAATGAAAATGGAAAAGAGAATCGAACACCAGTTAACTCGTTCTCCTTAATTGTTTCAACCCAAAGAGTGATAAACGGGAATTCTCAAGTGACAAACAATTGCGGGGAAAAAAAAAATCTAAAGCCGCAAACATTTACTCCAACCATATAGCTACAGATTCAATTCGAAGTGTTTCCTCGTATCCGACTTGTTAATCTAATCAAGTTATAGAAATATTTTCTCTAATCTACATGGATCCAAATCACACGAAGCGTCCAAAACAATGTCTAGCTGACCACTACGAACAATTAAGGCCTCGTTTGGTTGCCAAGATAATCTAATTGAAATCCAATTACTTTATCAACAAAAAAAGACTACCTAAAAAGCAAGACAATGCAAGATGGCTGCTATGATAATATAATATTTGTGGGTCGTTTCCGACAAGTTATTAGAGATACCAAACATGAAATAGAGTCCAATTATTTAGTCAATAATGTCTAATTTCCACAACCAAACAAGGCCTAAAAGTTAAAAAGTTAAAACCTAATCTCCAGCAATATCTAAGATCAATAATCGAATTTTTTCTTCAACCAAAACGAGGAAAAAGCAATCACAATCTAACATATACAAAATATATGCAAAATATACAGAAAATCTATATATGCAATATTTGATATTTATGCGCATAGAAAAAAAAAATGCTGAGAATAAAAAGAAAAGAATGAGGGATGAAACCATCGCCATCTTTATCAAATAGGCTGAAAGCTTCCTTGAACTCCGAGATCTGATCGTCTGTCAACTGATCCGCCATTTCTCTTCCTTAACCAAAAAAAAAAAAAAAGCTTCAGTATTTTCCTTCTTTCTCCTGCTTTGAATGTGTTTGACGAAATGACAACGAGAAGGGGTGATTCTGCAAATATGTGATAAGATCCGTTTGGTTTTGGAATTTGTGGGAAAACCATGTCAGCTTTATATATCATCTGAATTGTCGTCTACGTGGAGAGGAATAAGAAGGGAAAGAAAAAAAAAAGGACACGTGGCTACTAATCATTGGCTCAGGTAAACAGTATTAGTAGTTAATTACAGTATTTAATATTTTATTTTGGGATTTTAGTTTTATCAACTTGCTTACATATTTATTTACTTATGAGTAATTAATAATCAGCTAATATAATAAATTATATAAATTTACTGTTCAAAAAAATTTGGTGCAAAATTAAATTGAGTATTATTTAGGCAATGTTTGGAAGCGTTTTGGATCTTATTTTGATTTCATTTTGAGGAAATATGTTTTGGGGGAATAATTTGAGAATGAAAGTAATGTTTGTTTGTATTTTGGAAGGAGACAAAATACAATGTAGAAGTCAAATCATATTTAAATGTGTTAGAAAAAGGTATTTTTGAAGAAAAAAATTGAAGGATGAAGTGATGTTTATTTGTTTTTTAGTGAGGACATTTTTTACTGTAGCAGTCACATCATTTTACTGTAGCAGTCACATCATGTCTGAAGGAGAGAGAAACTTTTAAAATTGTTTTGAGAAAATGATTTGAAAAGTGTAATAAATTTCATTTTGTTTTGGGGAAACAATGAAAACAAAATGGAAATGGTTCCAAACATTACCTTATTATGTGGGTTTTTGCTCTCTCTCTCTCTCTCTACCTTATAATTAGAGAGAAGAATGAAATAAGGCTGTGTTAGCGCCACGCCACCACATCGGCCGCTCCCCGCCCCTTTTTCACCGCCCGACGGCGGCGGATTTCTCAAACTCCCAGAAAAAAGACACAATCTAGAGAGAGAGAAAAAAATAGACACGAAAATGGACCATTACAAAATATTGGGGGTTGATAAGAACGCGAGCAAAGAAGAAATAAAGCAAGCTTTCAGGAAATTGGCGATGGAATTCCACCCGGACAAGCACTCCCAATCCTCCGATCGTTTGAGAGATTCCGCCACCCACAAATTCAAGCAGCTCTCCGAGGCCTACGAGACTCTAATCGACGATCGCAAGCGCGGCGACTACAATCTCACCAGAAATTCCCATCGGAGCAAACGGTACGATTACCGTCACGGCGGCGGCGGCGGCGGCGGCGGAGGAAGTGGCCGTGCTTATACTTACAGCAATCCTTATGGTTACGGTTATACTGGTTCTGCCGGAAGAAGAAGAAGCGGCGACGGTATTCTCACCAAAATCGAGATCGGCCTTCGCTATCTCACCACCAGGAGTTTTCTTCTCAATGCCACATTTGTCGGGTAATTAATTTCTTTTTTTATTTATTTATAAATTTTTATCTGAATTGAATCAATTGATATTTCATTGAAAAAATTATTAATTTTTTTTAATGAATATGATAAATATAAAACAGGGGTTACATGTAATTATGTGTAGTTAGTTATATATAATTTGCAAAGAGCTGCAGAGTAGAAAGTAGAAACAGTGTACATATACAAAAATGAATTTGGGAAAGATTCCTTATGCTTGATAAAGAATGTACTTTGAGGCATCCAATTAAACTACAGATCTCGATTTTCGTTTTAAGAAAAGAAAAAAAAAATACGATCAACCTCAAATTACATTTCGATAGCCTACGAAGAAAAATCTGTTATTTTCTTGAGAAGGATTTATAATTATGTGTATATTTGCACCAGTGTTTTGTTAGGTGGGATGTATACCATTGATGCCAGTGGCAAGGCACTATGGAAAATGCATAATCCCGGGGTAAGTTCTCGATTTTTGGTATTCGCTTCCAAGAAAGTTTAATAAGCAAATTGTGTATCATCATATTTTACTTTACTCGTATCGTAAATTATGTTTTGTGATTGCAGAAATCTTTTGAAGACGCTATGGAGTCTGTAGAAAAAGCTAAAGACCGCAAAGACAACTCTATTTGAGCTCCGTTGTAGGTTTTTTTTGCTGTTATTCGACTTTGCTGAATTTAACTAAACCATAATTTGAGGTCAAAAGATTGTATAGGTTCAACGGTTCATTAACCGTATCGTATATTACATGTTCGATTTATAGGGAAGATATAACAACGATTCTGCAAAGCATGATGCAAATAATACATAATACAATAATGTGGGATGTGTTTGATTGTGTTTGTTTCCGTAAGGCCAATAAATGCTTGGGGTAAAGCTTGTACAGTTTGCGTTGAATAGTATATTCATTGGTCTTCGTCAATTTTCGTGTAAATTGTCAAGTGTAGCATCAAATGTGTTTTCGCAATAACTAGTGATGTTATTCATGAATGTACGTGTTAAAACTGAGACGGAATTTTCAATATTTGTCGATTTACAGTTTCAATTTTTTTTTAAATACTATTTTTCATTCCAAATTCCGGTTTCCAACTTTTCATCAAACAACAATAAACAATTAAAATCAACCTAAAGATAGATTACACACATTAACTAACATCCATCACAAGAATCTGCAAAGAAAATATTCACTGCAGCAATTTTAACAACTGTGCTGTAACTGTAGGCTACAGCTTGATGCCCTTGCTTAATATACAACAAACAACTGTCTACGAGTATCTGAGTAGAAAAGTAGTAGACAATTTCTTCCAAGCCCTAATCCATTAATGACTATGGATCTCTTTTTTTTTCTTTTTTAATTTGATAAATAAAAATGGCCAGAAAACCTTAATATGACGATAATCATAATCGGGAAAAAACGGAGCATTATGCAAAAGGATTTCCTCCAATAGATGCAGCAACAGGCCCTTGACCAGGAACATTCCTTCAAGAACTCCAACAAAAAATTATCACTTTATGGCTGGCTAAATGACTCACTAAAGATCACATTAAACTCTTAAGTGTGTGTGTGTGTGTGTGTGTGTGTGTGTGTGTGTGTGTGTGTGTGTGTTTTGTGTGTGTGAGAGAGAGATAGATTGAGGACTAACGATATCTGGGTGTTTGGCGCTTGTCCAACTATAAATCCCAAAGAGCTTGCTGAAGAAAACATGGAAATTAGGTGAGATGTGAAGATAGTGGGGAATAATTAATAAATCGTTTGAAAATAATAGTGAAACATAAAAAATGGAAAAAAGAAAAAACAAATATACCAGTTAAAGGATCAAATGCAACTCCACCAGGAGTATAGTACGGAACAGAATTCTGGGGAAACCAGGCCTCGTTTGCATCAACAACATAAGGAGCTGCCATATGATTACTCGGTAAAGCTGCTTGCAACGAGCTCATGTCCCAGAAATGAGTCTATACACAACGCCTTATAATTAAAATCATTCCAACGGTTGATATGCATAAATATGTGCGCATTTGTAATTAATTAATAGATGAGATCTATAGAGCACAATTTTACATAACATACCACATTGCCGGTTTCCAATTCAGCATCATAGGGAAGATCAAATGGATTGGTAGGCTTATTTCCAGTTGCAGGTGGATGCACTCCAGCCTATCATAACAGGGAAAGAGCAAAATAAATATACATAAATTTAGAGAAAAAAATGTTTCGATTTAGATAATAGGAACTTACCGCTGCTGGAGCCATGGAGAAATCATTCAACACCATACTGAAATGTGAAGAAAAGTTCGATGGAGAAGGTTCGATCTCATCTGTAGTCCTTACATTTCCATCATTCATAGCCTGCAAGTATATAAGTCTCAGTCGGAAGAAGTGAGGAGAAATGACTGGAAATTTGCTGAAGAAAAAACTACTCCGATAAAGAGCATATTTAGTTCAAATCAAACTAAAGATAAACTACTCCGTAAACAGACATTTTGTTCTTGGAGATAGTGATTTGAGTTTTCGAAATAAACATGTTCATCAGATTTCCAAGAGATGTATCGACCTCATACACAGCAAAGCCGTGAGCTTTATTAGCATCTGAAGCACAGGGCACGTTAGCTTGATCGTTATTTCTCAAAATATCATGGATTGGCTGTTGTGCAGGAGGATCTTCAAATGCATTCCAGAACTGTAACATTTCAAAAAATGCACCACATGATTCCAAGAATCTATAAATCACTCGCAATAAATTCAAATAAAAAATCATACTTTATAGTTTACGTAGGATAGTGCGTGCAGTGCTTACCCCAGCATTATTTGTGGTGGTTTCAACATTTTGCCGACCATCAAGCCAAGGTGTATTTGTTGATGAAGAAGAACTATGATCAATTGAAAACGGGTTAAAATTTCCTCGATTATTCCCATCAGAAGATGGCGCTGTGGCAGGGATAGGATTGTCAAACGTCGCCCATCCACCATTGTTCGGCATTACCACATCAGAAGTATTCCCATTAGAAGAAGCAACTAATGGTGAAGGCTGTAGGGTTTGTGGTGGTTGTGGCTCACTGAATGCCGCGACTGAAGAAATAGGATGTTGCTGGAACAAATCAACAGATTGAACTAACACCGACTCTGGCCATTGAGTATTATTACAAACAGTCGTATTCGTAGAAGTAATATCTTGTGGTGCATAGGGCTCGTTGAACAAGTCCATGCCATTAAAGTTGGTGGAAATTGAAGACTTGGGTAGACAAGGGAGAGATGAAGTTTTCTCAAGTACAGGTTGTCCGGTCTGAGAGATAATTTCTTGAAAACCGACAGAATTTCCTGATCTGAAAGACGTCGAGTCGAACGATCCAAAGCTTCCGGAAGATGTATTTCTCTGCATATCATAAAATTGCATTCAGAAGCATAATAAGAATTCAAAAGAAAAAGGATCAATAAACACATAATTTGAGACTTATAATTTCCAGATATGTTTCCGATTAAAGAAGCATTACCGTTCGTCCTCCATTGCTTCCACTATTAGCATTATGCCCGTGAGTTTCACTAGAGAAATAACTTGAAGTTTCACTGAAGGGGCTCCCAATTTCTCTCTGAGAGTTAGGTGACATCACATCAGATTTAAATGTATCGCCTCCACCAGAAACAGAATAGTCCGAGGCTCTGGGGTTGGATCCCTCATTGGCAAACCTTTCATCGTTCGCTTGGTCACTTAAACGACTAGGGCTCAAGAAACTAGACAGCTTCCCCTCATAAAGGCCTCGATCCGAACCAGGCTTTCTTGTAAGCGAAGGTACATGTTTCCCATAACGCCTTTCTTCATACTGAAAATCATATGGCGGACTTTGCGAGTATGAATGATATGAGCTCGCTCGCCTCGTCTCATCTTCGTGGCTTCTTATACTCTGAATACACAGTTTGTGGTCACTATGTTAGTCTTTGTTCGAATTTAAATTGTAAGAACTAATAATATCTACCAAACATCTATCTAAAATTATTTCAGAGGTATAACCTGTGGATCTCTAGGAGGTCTATCAGATGAATTTTCCACGGCATATCTTTTATCTACATAAACATTCTTTATAAACTCGCGAACTTTATCAGCAATGCTGCAAGAGAAAAATGTCGGTTGTTTAAGGAAAATTTTGTTTATACAAGTCATATACAATGAAGTACAAGAATCTGGACCTATTATCTGGAAGCCTCTGCCTTTGTGGGTCCCACGCCTTCAAAAACAACTCTCTTGCACGCTGGAATAGTATAGTAATACATCATAAGTCACTGTGGGGGATCATTTGACGAAGAACAAAATATCGGGAAATATATGTTACCTGATTACCACCTTTCTGAAGTGCATCCACTTCTTGAGAAGTAAACTTAGCCATGGAAACGGATTTGACACGATGAGTAAATTCACGACTGCAATTTCAAACAGAAAAAATGTGTTTCATACAATTATAATCCGGTACAGAAATCAAAACCCACAATATCGAATCTTCAGTTAGATAATTTATTTTAGTTTGTTTCCCAAAACTGACAACTCCTTGCATAAAGAATCTCCAAAGATACTTTTTCTTATGACTAATATTCTTCGGAAGTTCCTCAACTAAAACCTCAATCTTCTAAGTTCCACAGTTATACCATGATGTCAGAACCAAAAAGTACAATTATCGGGAAGCATTACGTCAATAATTAAGTGGTAAATTTATTTCTCCAGAGATATAAAACTGTAATCAAATTCAAAAATGCATTATGTTAACTAATTCGTAAAAAAAACCATAAGACTTGGCTTCTCAGAAAGGGAAATGCAAACAAACACTCACTGTATTCCACTGCATGTCGTGCAAACGAACGTCCAAAAATTCGTGCATACATATTGAGGACCCTGCAACCAAAAAGTACATTTCACAATCCAAATATTAAGTCCAAAAACAAATCTCAACCAATACACATTTAAAAAAAACGAAACCAACGGAACCAAAACCGTAAAACTCCCGGATTTTTTTAAATTTACTCAAAAATCAGTTTCACCTATGAAAACATCAAAGGGCACCACAAGCAGAAAATCTCGATAACCTAAATACCAAATAGTCACTCAGATAAGAGCCAGAGATTACTTCAATTTCAATTTTCAACGGCCAATTGGCTATAAACTATAATCTAACACCTCTAATTTCAATTTAGAACGAAGCACAAAAAAATTCCAAAAGAGAGTGAGAAAAATGAAGTATACATTACCAAGCTGTTGCAGTTAATGCATCGGCGATTAGGAGGGAGCTTCATCAGTCCCCTTATTATCTTTTCATTTCTATCATCTTCCCTTTTGCTACCCATTTTTTTTTCAAAATGAATTCAACCTAGCAACTCAGAACAACGAATTAAAAACACAGAAATTTTCCCCCAAATTAACCAGCAGAAATTACAAGATCGAGAGAAAGGAATAATCAACCCAAACAAAACAAAAAAAATCTAGGGTTTTAGAGAAATTTCCTCTTTTGTTTTGGATGGATTTGAAAGAACGGGACTTTGAATCAGCCTCGCTCTTTCTCTCTCTCTCTTCTCCTCTCTCTCTCTCTCTACACTTTCCAGAGCGTTTCAATTTTGGAAATAATAATGATTGTAGAATTATTGCCGTTGGAGAAATATAGCTAATGCCAGGAAACACCCTGCTGTGCTACTTGATTTTTGTTTTCGTTTGGAAGAATCAGATTTTGACTGGCAATAGAAGATTTTATCCGTGTACGGATTGAATTAATGATTTATTTAGTAAAAAACAGTTTGCCCCTAAATTAAGGTTTGCATTTTGCCCCCAACAAAATAAAAATCGCACGTTTTTGACTAAATTTGTTAATTCGTTGCAAAGTGCCCCTAAAATAAATTTTCTGACAACTTTGACCGAAATGCTAAAACATGTGGGTTGCATGTGATATTTGCAAATATAATTTTTTCTCTTCACCTACATTTATATTTAATATATAGGATGTATGTGAATGGACAAATTTATCTCTGCAAATCTCACGTGCAATGCACATGTTTTAGCATTTCGGTTAAAATTGTTGGAATATTTAATTTAGGGGGCACCGTGCAACGAATTAATGAGTTCAGACAAAAATGTGCATTTTTTTTTAGGGGCAAAGTGCAAACGACCCTTAATTTAAGGGACAAACGGCTTTTTCTCATTTATTTTTTTGTTAATTTCTTTCTTTGTTAGAAGATGTTTAATGAATTAAACGTTCGTAATTAATTGTCAATCACCATAGTATAATATGTCATTTATTTTCTATTTGAAATTTGTAATTGCATAGAGTAACATTCTTATAATTTTTTTTTTGTGCTATTCCTTTTGGACCTGGCTATAACAAAGTTGTTCATATCAGCCATTCATCTTGGTCCATATTTTTTTTTTCTTTATTTGGAATTATACTATATAAAAATTAAAATAAAAATAAGTGGATATAAAATTAAAAGGAAAAATAAGTGGATATAAAATTTCATAGTTTTTTTTTTGAATACCCAAATTAATTCCTATAAATACCTGCTCGAAATTTACCTTTATCTTAAAATATTATGTATAATTTGCATAATTAAAACAAATACCAAGAGGTATATTGTTTTGCAATATTATCAATTTAAATAGATTTACATCTCTATGGTCTATACATATTCATTCTAGGTATAAATAAATAGACCAGAGATGTGGATTACACTAGCCAAATCTTATGCGGTAGGTTCAATCCAAAATATACGAGTATGTTGTGGATGACCCTCTTGTTATAGAAATTGACGAATATGTGGTGGATAACCTTCTATTTATAGGAATTGATGAACCTGTCCCACAACGGTTTCTGAATGTGTTGCGAATGCTAAATCATGAAAAACGAACAAATAACTTAAGAAGATAAGAGAACTTAGTAGGAAAGTACTTGTATTGGTTGAGTATTTACAATTGCTTAGATTTCTTGGATGCTTACAAATGAAGTTCCGACTCCTATTTATACTAGGTCACCTTCTCAATGAGTGGTGGAAATCTATTTGATCTAAGAGCTTGTTCACTAGAACACTCCAAAGAATTCCTACAAAATATCGACAATGGAAGGATTCTAGAAAGTTTTCTAGAATCTCCTAAGATCTCTACCAAGTCTATTTATATTTGGGCCATCTTCGGCCTAATACTATTTGGACTAAGCCTGAATCCCTTAACCTTCCGAACCCAAGAGAAACTGACAAAGGGTTTGGCCGAAATTGGCAGGCCGTAACATCCTCATCCGCCTAATCCCGCGACGTCCTTGTTGCCTTGAGCAAGTGGAGACAATCTTGAAATTGCCACAAGTCTCCCACGTTGCCTCGGACTCGGGTAGTCCCTTCCATTTGATGAGGTATTGAATACTTGGTGGAACACCCCTACGTCGCTTCACTTGCCGGCCGAGCACTTCCTCGATCTCTTTACCATATGACTCGACCATGACGGGTGGTGCTCAGTGTGACTCTCCTAGTGTCTGATACTATATAGGAGAAATATAATTGGAGAAAAGAGAGAATAATATCTCTTACGTATATTAATCATATATATAGTTACATGTAGGAAATCCTAACCTACTACACAAGGTAACCTAATATACAAGGTAACTATAATAAATAAGAATAATAATAAGTATACGTAATATATATAATATATATACGCTAATACTGGGTGAATTTTCAAAGAACTTGAAAGTTGTAGGCAATAAGATACTTTACCGGCTTTGACAATCATCTGGAATGGCCCTTTATATCTCCGCACAAGGCCCTTGTGCATACTCTGCAGTGACTATTGGAACGCAAGAGCTTCACCATGACTTGCAATCCAACGTCGAGGTCACGTGATCGTCGTTTGTCGTCCGCCCATTTCTTCATATGTTATCTAGCCTTCTCGAGACACGCTCGGGCTAAGTCGGCTTACTCCTCTCATGACTTAAACATCTTCAATGCCCAGGACTCCTCTCATCAGTTGTTGTAGAGTCAAGGTGTGTGGCTTAAGCGATTGTTGTCCCGTTGCAAGTTCGAACGGACCCGTTCCCGGGATCTTATCACATCCATGATTAGTCAGGATTTTGACTAAGTAATATGTTACGTACCATTAATATGAACATTTTTTATTTTATTTATTTTATTTTTAATTTTTCTTTAAATATATATAGCATGAAAACTCAATAGTACAATTCACACATTTAATTAATGAGAATCTTATTGGAAAGCTTATAAATCGTTACACATAATTCATATCTGGACTACCATAAATATTATATACTTCCCTCAAATATCATCTTAAATGCAATTTATATTTCATAATCTAGAAAAAGTATTTCCACAAACACAATTTGACTTTTTTTATAATACAATTAGGAAATATCAATTATTGCATTATCTGTCAAACGGATTTTAAAAAATACACAAGTGTATTTTGAATATCACAAGCTTTAACAAAATAAAATTAAAAAATAATACAAAAAAAAAAATCGGTAAAAGGAGAAGAAAAGAGAGACGAGTGCTGATGTGAATCCTTTGAAGACCATTTCCTTCATCAAGTTCTTCGTAATTTCCATTTTATTTAATAATTCTGTGCGTGTGTGTGTGTGTGTGTGTGTGTGTGTGTGTGTGTGTGTGTGTGTGTGTGTGTGTGTGTGATTTTCAGCCTTGAATATATCATGATCAGGTTTCTGTCAATTTCGTATTATTAATTATTCTTGAGCAATTATAATTATAATTTCTACTTATTTAATTTGAAGAATATGAATTTAATTGTTATGTTGCAGAATTTAATTAAATGGAAGGTGAAATCAACCAAAATCTATTGGAATCAGCCAACAAAAACACTAGTGAAGAAGAAACTCTCAATAACAAAATATGGAACGAGGCCAAAAAAATGTGGATCATAGCGGGCCCCGCAATCCTAATCCGATTTTCCATGTTCGGAATAAATGTCATAAGCCAAGCCTTCATCGGCCATGTGGGGTCCACCGAGCTCGCCGCCTATTCTCTCGTCTTCACCGTCATCCTACGTTTCGCAAATAGCATACTCGTAAAACCGAACTTATAATTTGTATTCATTTTTTTCGTATTAATAAATAAAATCAACTTATATATGTATATATTCGATTTTGCATTGCATTGATATGTATAGTTGGGAATGACGAGCGGACTAGGAACGCTATGTGGACAAGCGTACGGAGCGAAGCAGCACCACATGCTCGGAATATACCTTCAACAATCATGGCTCGTTCTAACCACGACCTCGATTTTCCTCTCGCCGTTATTTATTTTCACCACCCCTATACTAAAAGCGTTAGGCCAAGACGAACGCATAGCGGAAGTGGCGGGGAGTATTTCTCTGTGGTTCATCCCCGTGGTATTCTCCTACGTGGTCTCGTTCAGCTGCCAAATGTACCTGCAGGCACAGAGCAAGAACTTGATTATTTCGTACTTAGCCGTTTTTTCGTTATGCCTTCACGTTTTTCTGTCTTGGATGCTGACTGTGAAGTACGAGTTCGGAGTTCGTGGGGCGATGGGGTCCACTATCTTGGCGTATTGGATACCGAACTTAGGTCAACTTATGTATGTTATGTTTGGAGGGTGTGGAGAAACTTGGACCGGTTTTACGAGATTAGCGTTTAAGGATCTTGGTCCGATTATCAAGCTTTCCATCTCGTCTGGTGCAATGATCTGGTTATTATTTATTTAAATTTTTTTTTTCAAGATTGATTATTTTTAAGGTATGTATATCTTGATAGTGATTGGTTTTATTACATTTTGCAGCCTTGAATTGTGGTACAACACAATTTTGGTTCTTTTGACTGGAAACATGGTCAATGCTGAGGTCACAATTGATGCTCTTTCTATCTGGTAATTTATAATTTTTTATTTTAAAATTTAATTTTTGGGTTATGATTTCTTGATTAGTGAATCTGGAAATAGCAATTAAGAGTTTGTTAATGTTTGCAGCCTTAACATAAGTGGTTGGGCTTTAATGATTTCTATAGGTTTCTTAAGTGCAGCAAGGTAACTATGATTATATAGTTCTCTGTCTTAACTCTTAAAGTTCTCGTTTCGATTCTAAAGATTCGTTTTTTTTTTCTTTGTCTCTATATATTCTAGTGTGCGTGTGTCGAACGAGCTTGGAAAGGGGGATGCTAGAGCCGTAAAATTCTCGATCTTGATGATAGTGCTGACATCGTCCACAATCGGATCCGTGCTTTTTGTTTTTTTCATGTTGTTTCGCAATAATTTGGCTTACGTGTTCACGAAAAACCAAGAAGTAGCGAAGGCGGTTGCTCATTTATCGCCTCTTCTGGCGTTCTCGCTGCTTCTGAATGGTATTCAACCAGTTCTTTCAGGTGAGCTCGTCTATTTAAATTTTAAGAATATACATATATATAAATCGGAAAAAAAAACATTAAATTAACCGAAAATTTTGTTTCTTGTATTGCAGGTGTTGCTAATGGGGCTGGAAGGCAGAGCATTGTTGCTTATGTTAACCTCGGTTCATACTACTTGATCGGAATCCCTTTGGGAGTCGTACTTGGTTATGTCGTCAAATTACAAGTCGAAGTGAGTTTTTACGTTTTTGCCCCTCCCGTTTCATGATGACATTATTCAAGAAAGAAAAGTTGACGAAGGTACGTGTTCGATATATGTAGGGTGTTTGGATTGGAATGATAATCGGAACAGTGGTTCAAACGGCTATAATTGTTATCATAACTTACAGGACTGATTGGGATAAACAGGTGACTATTAAATTCGAGAACCGAGTTTGTTGAGATATTTTTAGTTGTTAGTAATTACATTGTGGTTTCGTGTGCAGGTATCCGTTGCTCGGAGACGAACGAGTCGGTGGTTTGTGGAAGAAGAAACTAATTAATAACGAGCCTCGATAGTTGTCTGAAGATCGAAAAATCTCTTGTCTGCGAAAGGGTGTTATAAGATTTAACATAGACTATGTTAAAGATTTGCAATTTTGAATTCCTTAGTTTGAAGCAATGGGGTTTTGAATATTTCTCTCATACTGTTGGGCCGTTCCTGAGATTTTAGAGATCATAGACGAGATTTGAAGACGGTTCAAAAATAGGGATCTTCTACAATAAAACTCGTTTTCTAAAAATAATAATTTATATATTTATTCGTTTTCGTAAGAATGTATATAATGAGTGGCAGAGCCAGGATTTAGTAAGGGTGACTTAAAATTAATAAGGGTTGAGGGGCAATTTTAATAAGAATTCACATATAATAACACAATTTTAGTAAGATTTTATTTTCATAATATAGATAAATGATAAATTGATAGTATTTATTTATAGGATAAAAAATATTCAAATTATTTTGCAAACACTCTATTTTTCAAATGAAACTTGATGGTTTGTAAAATGTGAAAATATTGATTGGGTTTTGTGGAATCAAATATTAGTAAAATCAGGAAAATTTTATTTTTAATTTTTATTTGTTTTTTTTTTCTTAATAACCAAGAGGGATATTTTAGTAATTCATATAAATCTTAAATGGACACTTGTAATTTGTACAAACCAGGGGAGTTTTTAATTCTTATATATTTTAGGGAATTACTTGTGATTTAGTATTTTAGCAAGAAAACCATCCTAAAAAATAGTCAAAGCAAGAAAATTCCTAACATCTTATTATGTAATGCACGCGCGGACTGTTAGAGTAGAAGCGTGTTTTTTGACTTGAAAAGCCAAAAATAGCCTCCGAATTCTTTTCGATTCCTTTTTGTTATTTTGTAAATATTTCTTTTGTAAGGTAATTCGGTCATTTCACATAGGTCAACAATAAATTTTGAAATATAGGTTCTGTAAGTATGACACTGTGTGTTTTTATAAGCTTTCAAACACTTGAAAAGAAAAGAAAATAAATGGAAGGTGATCGATCAAATGAACCAAGAGCTGTTGGGGGTAACTGCTCGTAATAAAGACGACGAAGAAGAAGATTTGGACCGAGAAGTAGCGGGCCCCGCCATCCTAATCCGATTTTGAACATTCGGAGTAAACGTTACAAGCCAAGCTTTCATCGGCCTTGTGGGCTCCACCGAACTCGCCGCCTATCGACTCATTTCTACTGTTATCCTAAGATTCGCCACCCGGCATTCTTGTAATTAATCAAACTGCATTTTGTCGCCTGAATTTTTGCAGCATGCCACTCGAAAATCACTTTGTTTTTGTGCCATTTTGCCATATAGCTAGGGATGATGCTCAGGCCAATATTGCCGGAATGCACATTCCTGATCCAAGGGCATTTCCGTATTTTTCACGTCCAAATACCTAATGGAGGCACGTAAGGAAGAAAGCGCTTAATTACATCATCTACCGTTGGATTAGTGTTGTTTGCGGTTTTCCTGATTTTTCGTGGAAACTTTACTTACGTGTTCACGAAAAACGTTGATGTACGTGGTTAATGTGGTAGCTCATTTATCGCCTTTTCTCGCATTTTCGTTACTTCTTAATAGCATTCAAACAGTTCTTTCTGGTGACCAGCATCTCTCTCTCTCTCTCTCTCTCTCTCTCTCTCTCTCTCTCTCTCTCTCTCTCTCTCATGTGTACCATACCACCACATTGCAGGTGTTGCTAGTGGGGCTGGAAGGCAAGGTATTGTTGCTTATGCCAATCTTGGTTCCTATTACTTAGCTTGAAATTCAGAATTGAAAATATCGTTCAAACAATCCGAATAAAATATTCAAATAGACAAAATTTGGAAATTACCTTCTAATTTCCACACATCCCTACCATTGACAATTACTTGCAAGTTAACATATATAAGTTTGTACAAAGAATTATTTTATTCCTATTAATATGCTTATACGTGATCACCATTAACATCATTTTTTTCTTTAATTTAAAAAATCAAGTTCCATTTATTTGACATTATCTCTGATATTCAAAATCAAGTAATGAGAGTTGGTCGAGTTTGGAAGATCAAGTTGGATCTGAAGTTGTTCAGAGTTTGGTTCAATTATTTATTATTTATTGCTTTTTTATTCCCTTGTTTATTTAAATAATATAAAATGTGATACCAAATTAGATATTAATTAGGCCCAAATCCAATATTTATCATTTAAGATTAACATCGCCAACGTAGGCATTGACTTGGATGTGGGAAAAATGATTTTCATATACTGTGAAATATCGATAAATTAATAATTTAGCTTAAATAACAATTTCTTGCTTTCAACTCGATAAAGCGTACTATATTCCAAATTTAATTTGATAGATTAATAGAATTTTGCTAGTCCGAATTATATTAATTTATTGATATTTAATTGTATATGCACCACCTTTCTTAATTCCAAATTAAAAAAAAAAGATAAAAAGAAATTCGTTATGGATAAGTTCAATTATTTGAAAGTTGGGCAGGAATATAAGTATGTAATAATTATTGGGGCCATAATTAATTATTATAAAATAGGACAACCCAAAGTCAAGCTCCATGTGAAGTTAATGGACCACGTTCTATTGGATCCGGTCCAAACCATTGCAACTATTCCCTAATTAAATTGAAAATTGCAAAATGGCCCATAAAACGTTCTGCAGGTGTTCTCGAATGTTCGAAACGAAACGTGTGATACAAAAAACAGTAGAAAGTTAAAGTTTACTTGCTACACATCTTTCTTTTCGTTATAGAGTTTAATGTATTTTTATTTATTTATTTATGATGTTGAATTAAATTGCCTATTCTTTTTATTATACATCATCAAATCAAGAAAATTATGGGCCTTGGAGGTGGGCCCACAACTATTTCGAAAAAAAGCCGCCACAAATAATATACTGAACACCATTAATGACGTAAGATTCTAAAAAAAGAAATTTTAAACAAAATTAGAATTATTTTGATGTATAAATAATTAAATATGTATGCGTGGATAATATCAATAATAATATGTATATACATTTATAATTAAGATTCTATTATTGCATTAATCAAGATATAAGTACAACTATATATATTATTTATGGCTACCTACCAATGCCACGTGGTCAATTTACACGCACCACCAATCCCGTTTATCCACCTACTTGTCCACGTGACATTGTGTATTCAAAACAAATGCTCATTTTCCCCAACTACTTCTCATAATTCATTTTTATAAATAGGGGTCATTAGCAATAAACCCCTCATATAGATAATAAATGGTGATATGTCCAACCCTTAAATCTTTCTTTGTGATAACCCCCTAGAATTTGTATTTCCAATTCTACCCTTATGTCAATTAACATAATTAGTCTCAATTATTCCTTTTTTCACTCTTTCCATAACAATAATCTAATTCCTAAAAATTTACTTCCAAATTTCTAAAAATTTGCTACCAAATCAAAAAATAGGATTTTTTTTATTTATTATTTTGTATTATTTTCGAATTTTATAGCCACTTTTTTTATTATTTTTTAATATTTTTTTAATAAAAAAATATATTTTTTTAATAAAAAAATATATTTTTTTAATTTTTTTTAAACAAAAATTTGATTTTTTTTTTCTCGACAGATTTACAACTCCGAATATGACTATAGTTGAATATGACTATTATGTGACTACGCTGTGTATAATAGTGTAATTAACATATTGTAGAAGCATAATTATTAATATAACAGTAAGAATATGACTACTATGTGAATGTGACTGTGCTTTGTAAAACATTATAATTAACAGACAGTAGAAACATGAATATGACTATTGTGTGACTACAGTTAGTATAACATACTGAACATGATAGTGGAAATATGACTATTATATGACTAGCAACTGCGTAATGTGACTACAAGTAATCAGCACTTGAAAAAACTTGCAATATTAACAGCAAAATACATTGCAAAAAGAAAAAAAAATGACTACGAAAAAACAAAAATAACTAATGTGATCATTCAACAATTGCCATCGAACATGTTTTTTTGTTGCGGTATCCAACTCGGTTGCACCGACTTCACTTAATCTTCCGTTTGATCTTCTCTGTTAAATATGACTACACTGTTGAACATATGCAGCACTACAAAAAAAAAAACAAATATAACTAAGTTTTTAAACATGACTACTCTGTCAAACGTGACTACTCTGTAAAATACATTGCACTACAACCGACTAATCTCGTAACTCAATGAATTTTCCAGATCTAAACATTCAGAATATGTAGAATAACACAAAAATTAATAAAATCAAGAATAATTGAAAATCAATGTATTCTTTCATAACAAACAAATAATAGATATGAAATTCAGATCCATAACATATTATATTGCTAGTTCGACAATTAATTCGAGAAAAATAAAAAAATTAAATTTACCAATTAATATAGTATATATTGGTATTCAGCGTCGAGATATGGGAAATCTCCATGTAGAAATCCGACGGAGGCGGCGACAAGGTGGAGAAGGCGCCGCCGCCAATTGTACCAGGAGTCGATGTGGTGGTGTTCGACGAGTGGGGAGACGATCTCCAACATCGGCAGAGGAGGGCCTGGGCCCCTGCAACGAGTTTCGGCCGACGGCGTTTGAAGGATATTGTTGACTCCGGCGGTTTTACAGATCTGAAGAAGAAGGAAAAAAAAAAATAGAACTGTGAACAGAGAGAGAACGGGAGAATGAAACAGAGAGAGAGAGGGAGAGCGAGAACTGAAACAGAGAGAGAGAGGGAGAGCGAGAACTGAAGAAGAAGGAAAAAGAAAAAAAAAAAAAAAAACTGTGAACAAAAGAACGAGAGATAGCGAGAACAGAGAATAGAGAGAAAGAGGAGAGAATGAAAGAGAGAGAAATAAAATTGTATTAGGTTAAAACCCTAACACATAGGGGCATTTTAGTCTTATCATGGTTGGTAAGGGTGTCTCACTAATTTAGATTGGGTTATGGGTTATGGGAAAAGTCTTTAAAGTCAATTGGGTTTAGTTCAAAATATTTTCCAAATAAGGGGTGTATTGCATATTTCCAATATTTATTATGTTTTCCATTAAATTACCTATGCAATATTTATTTATTTAAAACCCCTATTTAAAAGGAAATAATAAATATTTAGATAATTCTAGAGAAATCTTTTAAAGAAAAAAAAAAAAAAAAAAAAAACTGCTGGTGAGTAGTCCTAGTCAGTCATTTATATTGCCTCTGTGAGAATTAACCAACATGGGTAGGTATACAAATAATATATTATTAATTTATATATATTTCCAAGTTTTTTTTTTAATCAGATATTGCAATATAACTTATAAGCAATGAGACGAAAAACAGCTATTTAACACGTGATAATTAACCTTTAAAAAAAAATCAAAAGAATGTTGGTAGAGAAATTTAAATGGTCTTTTTATATATGCTGGTTAAAAATTAAATAAGTATATCCACAACATTCATTGATATACGTATACTTTGTAAGTGTACGCTATACGTCAATAAAATTAATTTTCATATATGAATATAGAAATAAATATAAATATTTGTCTAAAATTATAAAATCTTGAATTTAACATCTAACATTTTCGAAACAAATACTATCCAATCTATTCCACAATAAATGTCATTTTAGAGAAATATTTTTGTTATATATTATAAGGTAAATTACAAACACCCCCTGAGGTATGGTCAAATTATAAAAACACCCCTCTTGTTTGGATAATTACAACCACCCCCTCAACTCCTCAAATTTAGTGGAATCTTCGAGATTATATGGAATATTATCACTTTTGTACCCGTTTTATCCCATTCAAACTCTACATTATGAAGCAAGATGATCATAATATGTGATTTTTAGCTTGTATATATCAGTTTGTGGTGCATCGGAAACTATATTTTTACACAAAACGAGTACAAACTAGAGCAAATTTCACGGAATCTAGATGATTATGTTGAATTTGGCACCATAAGGGTGGAGGTGTAAGAAAAAATCACAGTTGAGGGGGTAGATCTAATTATCCAAACAAGAGGGGGGGTTTTGTAATTTGACCATACCTCAGGGGGTGTTTGTAATTTACCCTATATTATATGTCTATTTAGAATTCTAATAATGCCTTAAATGCATTTATTCTCTATGTGTTTTACCCATATTTTTTCAATTATAATATTAATTATATCTATCACATCATTGCATGATTAATGTTATTTAGTATTTATTCAAAATCCAAACGTATTTATTCAAAATTCTTAATACTCGTACAAAACTGAGAAACGATTTTCGTCTGATCCAAAATGGTTTCGTGAAAGCAAAGATTTATTCTAGGATTGGATAATGACCGATAATAAGTGAGCCCTTAGTTATGTCTGGTCAAGAATTAATGTAATAATTGAATTGAGATAATACCAGTTAGCCAATCAAATCTGCACACATATTTTTGTTCGACATATGAAGTTCGATTCAAGTTTGAGCTCGATTAAAAAAAATATTTTTATTTTTTACATATATTTATTAAAAAATCAAACTAGCTCGAATCGTATTCGATTCGATTATAGCTCGCCATAAAAAAATAAATGAAGCAAAATTTGAATAAATATGTAAAAAATCATTTTATGACAGTAAAAAGCCTTTAGCAAACAGGAAGTCAACTATATATTGTCTTGAGTGGTTATATTTTTTTTTCCCATTTTCAGACAGTTAGGTAACAATAAATAAGATTAATTTGATTGAAGAAAGAGCTAGATGAGAGTAAATAATTAAAACAATAATTACCGCAGAGATTGATTGTAGGAATCCAACTGTCATCATGGTGCACGTTTTCGCCATCAGAGTGGGGGTAGGTGGTTTTTAGTATTTTTATTTTGCCATATGCATCTGTTTCACATTTTTTTATTTAGTCTTCTACAATTCAACCCTCTCTCTCTCTCTCTCTCTAAATGTGTGTGTCTGTGTGTGTGAGAGAGAGATAAAGGGCTTGTGAGGTCACTTTTGCTGCAGCTGAAAAAACTATTTTTCTCCCTTGCAGAACTACAGAAAAAAAGGGTTCTTGATTTCTTGGGTAAGTCTTCTTCTTCTTCCTCAAGTCATATCCCTCTGTGTGTGTGTGTGTGTTTTCTGTTATTGTCTGTTTTTTTTTTCCTGGAAAGTTTCCGTTTGTTTGAACTGAGTTTCGTGTTAAAGATTCGATTTTTTTGACCCAAGTCCAAGTATTTGTGTGTGTGTGTGTGTGTGTGTGTGTGTGTGTGTGTGTGTGTGTGTTTTCTGTTTGGTGACCTCTGCAAATCTTGTTGGTTTTCTACCTTAAGGTTTGACTAACGTTGTTGTATCCAATTTTCATTGTTTTCTCCGATTTGCCCTTGGATTACAACTTCCATAACATCAAAACTAGAATAAATTAAAAAAAAAAAGAAATTGAATGATATATATCTTATATATATACATCTCGTTCTTGATCTGTAATTTTAGTAAGGATTATTAGTGTTCAGAAAAG